TAACCATTCTTGGGTGACGCGTGCTGCATGCGATGTTGCTGAGTCCTGTTGGAATGTCTAAGGTCTGCGGCTAAAATGTTGGCGTGACCAAGGCTTTAATACACCCTCCAGAATATTTTCGCGATAATATTCTGCATTTATTCTGATGCCACGGTCAATTAATACTAGCGGAGAGCGGGTGGCCAACCGAATGTTCACATTTTCAGCTGACCACTTTGGCAAGTAAACACGATCATTTTGTTTGTTTACAAACTGCTGGACAACGAATGTTTTCGCATCGGAATATTGCGATATGTTCAGCTCATGAGCCATTTTTCGGCCACTGTGACGCGGGTTTCGATCAAGTCGCTTCTTTACTTTTCGAACCATTTCTGCTGATGTTGCTGTTTTTTCTGTCCACTTCCTTGACGTCGGGCTACGCTACCAGTATCACCGTAACGAGCGATGGTAGATTTATTCACATTTAAATGCTAGAATGCTCTTACAATAGCCACTTGTGGTTTTCCAGCCAAATATAAAGAAATCGCACTATCACGCTTGAATTCCATCACGAATAACTTTTTTTCTGGAAAATTCTCGCCAAAATGCTTTTGTACGCTTGTAAACAATATAGTGTGCTGTCACTAGAATAATTTTAATAGCTGTCGGACGAGTGGCTGTGAATTGAAGGCAGTCTGAAGTTGGTTGCAGTTTTTTCATCTCACCCAGTACACCTTATAGTGGAGGGAATAATAAAATAAGAACATATGTTGGATACCACGTTTCATCCTGATTATTATGGAAATATGTTTTTTCTTCTATTTACCCACATGCCAAGCTCCTCAATTGCAGACTGTAGCGTATACATAAATGTTTTTTCATTCTTTTTTTTTTCTTCTACGATACCAAAATACTTTGCTGTCTTATCATTTTAGTCATTGAGGTTTAACCATGGTGTAAAGAACGTCCTATACAGTGTGCGGTGTGTAAACAATTTTGTGTGTTTGAAATAACAGCTTTCGGCGCTTAAAGCATTTCTGTTTTGTATTTCTAATGTCGTAAACATGGATATCTTATATCTTGAACGGAATTTTTTACGCGCGTAAAATTTCACAACATTTGTTGTTGTTGCAATTGATCAACAATTCCGATACTAATCGGACAATGTATTGTAAAAAATTACATTGCACATACATATATGTCATACGTTGCTAAAGTATATAATGTGATGTGTATATGAATACTGATTGCTTTTCAATCCTTTGTTGTTGTCACTTTTTTATATCTATATAACAAAAAACAATTCAGTCATTAATTGCACAAATTACCTATAATATTGAAATAATATACAGTCAAGTCATTGTAAAATGCATTAATCTGAAGCAAATCAGTTTTTAATAAAATTGCAATCGTTGATCATCAGATCTTGTTAATAAATTGAGAGTGTGCCGTCAAAAGTTATTACAGGTTGCTGGAACTAATACACTTATTTAACGAAAAAATATGTTGCAAACAGGTTTATGCTTGTGAATCATTGTTTATAATCAGAAATTAAACTTTCATTGGAATTTGGGAAGAATATTCCATTGTTGATAGTTGATGGAAAAATTATGTGAAATTGTTGAACTTTGATACAAGTTGTTGCGTGAGAACGATAACAAAACAACAAATGAATTCTGAATATATGAAAACATGTAAACATTATGTTGCCTTATCTCCTCTCGCTCCTTGCTTTAAAGCTAGTTTCCCCTTTCAATGAATCTTGTCAATACAGGGTGATATAAAAAAATGCAAAAAAATCAAACACCATAATTTTTACATTTTTTTAATTATATTGAATGAAAGCAAAAAATGTCGGAAATAACATCAAATTTTAGGATAATATTAGATTTGTTCGAATTGGTCACCTTTGGCATGAATTATGGCCTTCAAACGGCCAATGAAACCGTCACACGCTGCCCGAATGGTGTTGTAACTGTGGTCCATTCCCGGCGAAGCGCTTGCTTGAGGTGATCGACACTTTGGTATTTTTTAGTGCCAACCTTGCATTCCAAAATACCCCAGACACAATAGTCCAACGGATTGGTATCCGGAGATTTTGGTGGCCATTGTGCGCTGGAAATGAAATGAGGAACCTCATTTTGTAACCATACTTGGTTGGCGCGTGCTGAGTGCGATGGTGAAGAGTCCTGCTCGAATGTTCAAGGTCTGCGGCCAAACGTTTGCGTGCCCAAGTATTTAATACACCCTCCAGAATATTTTCGCGATAATAATATGTTCATTTTGTTTCTTTACAAACTGCTGGACAACGAATGTTTTCTCATCGGAGAAAACCAAATTCGACAGTTCGCCACTTTCGGCCAAGCGAAGCAACTCTTTATCTCTTGTGAGTCTATTTTCTTTCTGTTGCGGTGTAAGTTCTTGTACTTTTTGGAATTTCAATGGCTTTACCCCGAGCTCATATTTCAATATTTGCCGAATGGATTATTGCGATATGTTCAGCTCAGGAGCCACTGCGACGCGGGTTTCGATCAAGTCGCTTCTTTACATTTCGAATTATTTCTGATGTTGCTGTTTTCTTCCGTCCACTTCCTTGACGTCGGGCTACGCTACAAGTATCACGGTAACGAGCGATGGTACCAGACAAACGATTTATTCGCATTTAAATGCTGGAGTGCCCTAACGATTGCCTCTTGTGGTTTTCCAGCCAAATATAAAGAAATCACACTATCACGCTTGAATTCCATCACGAATAACTATTTTTCTGGAAAATTGGACGAGTGGCTTAGAAATGACAGCAGTCTGAAGTTGGTTGCAGTTTTTTCATCTCATCCTGTATGTGTGTGGATTACTGGACCCTGCAAAATGCTCCATCATAACCCAATATTTAATTCAATTGTTTACTACTTACAGTTGAATAAAAAGTTTTGTCAACAAGCATAATTTTTAATAATAAATCAAAGAAAATTATCACAACGAAAGTGAAGTGATTTGAATTGTTTTTAATTTTTGTATTAAAATGATTGAAATGCGTGTGAACTTTTGAAAAAGAACATAGTCGAAAAGAATCTACATCATAACTTATTGTTCAATAGAATTGTTTAGTACAGACTGTTTTGTATTTCTTTTCAACAAGCATAATGCAAATAAATTTAATTTAAAGCAAATCATAAAAACGACAGTGAAGTGATTTGAATTTTTTTTGTGTTAAATTATTCAAATGCGTGAGTACTTTTTAAAAAGAACAAAATTTCTTAACTCAAAACTTTTAAAAATTCAAACCTATAAATGCAGACGGAACATAAACCAATGAGACACCCTGGGTCAATCGTCTGCACAACAAGTAAAACTTTAATGCTGATTTTAGCATGATTAATAGAAGAGAACAGGGTGAGATGAAAAAACTGCAACCAACTTCAGACTGCTGTCATTTCTAATCCACTCGTCCGACAGCTGTTAATATTATTCCAGTGACAGCACATTATATTGTTAACAGGCGTACAAAAGCATTTTGGTGAGAATTATCCAGAAAAAAAGTTATTCGTGATAGAATTCAAGCGTGATTTCTTTATATTTGGCTTTGGCATTTTGTCCAGCATTTAAATGTGAATAAATCTTTTGTGTCTCGTACCATCGCTCGTTACCGTGATACTGGTGCCCGACGTACCTCGACGTCAAGGAAGTGGACAGAAGAAAACAGCAACATCAGCAGAAATGGTTCGAAAAGTAATGAAGCGACTTGATCGAAACCCGCTTCGCAGTGGCCGAAAAATGGCTCGTGAGCTGAACATATCGCAATATTCCATTCGGCAAATATTGAAAAAGCCATTGAAATTCCAAAAAGTTCCAGAACTTATACCGCAACAGAAAGAAAATAGACTCAAAAGAGCTAAAGTGTTGCTTCGCTTGGCCGAAAGTGGTGAACTGCCGAATTTGGTTTTCTCCGATGGGAAAACATTCGTTGTCCAGCAGTTTGAAAACAAATAAAATTATCGTGTTTACTTGCCAAAGAGGTCAGCTGAAAATGTGCACCTTCGGTTGGCCACCAGAACTCAAGCGCCGGTCATGGTAACATTAAGAAACGTTCTCCGAATAAACAGCAATAGATGTAATAAAGTCCTGAATCAAATCATCTTGCTGTTTTGGAAAGTGAGCGTAAATGTCTTAGGCACAATCGTTATATTTATGTTGGCTCAACTTCGTTCGGGTTATTGTAACTTCTTAACTCATAGAGTGAACGTAGCGTCATCGTTACCATAAACATATAACGTTCCTGCCGTCAATACTTTTATGACACTCCGCTTTTGTTTAACTGTTCCCTTAAACCACAAGTCTAAGTCTAATAAAGATATAGTCGTAACTAATTGAGGTCGCATTCTATCTCCGGCTTACTTTATACAAACCAATGAGTAAAAATGGCCAATATTGTTTTCCCTTCTATGTTTTGTTTTCATATGACTTTATTTCTTAACAAAAGAATCTCCAATTCCAAATGAACTGTTAAAAATTGATTACAGCTTGGCCTAGCTGTTATAAGTTAGAAAACAAAAATATTTGTTAACTAAACGTCAGCGCCTGACAATTAGTTGTTAATAATATAAGCACGTCCGGGACTTTCTTCTCTATTAGAATCAACCTCATAACAAAAACTTTTGGATAAGTAGCACGAATTTAGGATAAAAATTCATGTTTCCATTGAAATTAATTCACCGCACATGACATTTTAATCTGAATACATGATTTAAAGAGAAATGTTTGTTTTTCTAATCGGCATAACATGAGGCAACCAGATTTCACGGCAATCGGAATATTTTCAATATCGAAATCTTTGCCTTAAAGTATTTAAGCTTTTCTTGATGCTTAACATATAACCTGTTTATATTTAAAAATACCCATCAAAAATCTTTATGTTAATGTGTTAACATTTAACACGAAAGGCATATGACGTCTTTTAAATATTTACCACAATTACAATGAAAATAAATTAAAACTATTAAATTAATTTTTTCCTTTTATTTCAGATTTTATTTTTGTAATATTTAATTAAATGCAACTTACGCGGAGCACAAATTCATCTTAGCCTGATTTCGAAATCATCTGCCATTTTTGTTGAAACAATAAGCATTCCAAATATTTAGCAACAAATCTTCAGTTGCTCTCTTAACACAACACAATGACAGAAACCAATGCATTTACCTCGAATCACGAGAGGAGTAGTAAAAAATCCTCTCGCAGATCATCATCAAGTCGTTCCAAACGCAGCTCAAGCAAACGAAAAGGATCAGGATCTTCGTTCTTGAGAATTGTTGAAAGTTTATTCTTTCGCTTTTATACTATGGTAGCCAGATTAATTTTCAAATTTATTTACGGCGAAAAGGGACAATCTATGCCGGCCATTACAGATCCCATTCTATTGGAGTCGGCGACTTCACTTGCCAGTAAAATTCGCAAGCAAGAGGTATGTTTATCGTTTGCTTTTTTAAAGGAAAATTTTAAAGGGATTTTGTTTTCATTCCAGCTTACTAGCGTCCAAGTTTTAGAAGCATTTATAAGACGTGCCAAGGAGGTGAATCCATTACTAAATTGCATGGTTGACGAACGCTTCGATGATGCCATGAAAGAGGCCAAAGAAGCTGATGAGTTAATAAAATCCGGCCAATATACCGAAGAAGAATTGGCAAAACAAAAACCATTTTTGGGTGTACCGATTTCCACCAAGGATTGCATTGCCGTAAAGGGTAAGTGGGTTCAAATGATAAGAAGAATAAGAATAGGGTATCGTTGAAAGAGATAAGGCGTATAAGTCTTTCGTCGTTCCCTTCGAAATCCCTTGAAAGACTTTTAGATTTAGAGATAAGAAATTCGCTACTATAACCTCGTTAAGAAACTTCTATGGCTTTTGGTGATAATTAATGTATTAATAGATCTGGAACATAACGGAACTAAAGTCGTGGCTTACGATGACGATGTGGTTCTGTTGATTGCTGGGAAATTCCTGCAAACTTTTTCAGACCTAATGTAAGGAGCTCTTGTGAAATTATCAAGATGGGCGCGATTCAAAGGGCTTGGCGTCAACTCATCTAAAACAGAGCCTTTTCTTTTCACGAGCAAGCTGAAACTCCCAGAATTTTTACTACCATCGCTGGATGGCATCACGTTGAGTTTTTCGTCTGAAGCCAAGTATCTCAGTACCATCCTGGACTAGCGTTTGAACTGGAAGAGAAATATCGAGGAACGCACTAAACGAAATTTAATTGTATTCTACTCCTGCAAAAACTTCATAGGAAAGAGCTGAGGACCGTATATCATCAAATGGTTATATGAGTGAATCGTCCGTTCGATTTTGACTTTTTGACTTATGGTGGTTTAGTTTGGTGTCACTATCACAAAGTTCAAAGAGTAGCATCTCAATTAATTACAGGTGCACTTAGTAGCACACCTAAGTCTGCCTTGGACCAACTACTCAACTTGAGTCTATTTGTAGAGGAACATGCAGAGAGATGTGCACTGAGACTCATGGAATTTGGTCAATGATAGTGGAACAAGCAGCGAGATGTGTACTGAGGCTCAGGGAACTTGGTATCCAATTATTCGGACATTCGGTCATTATGAAGTATGTGGAGAACATAGGGGGTCGGGTTTTGACCAGTGACTAAATATCACCTAGGCTAGACTTCGAAACACTGGACATCCACTTACCTAGCAGAGACACGTGGACCATCAAATCTATGGTAGTCCTGGAGTGCATGATTGCTCTGGGAAAAGTGAAGTCCTTTATTAAGTTTTGCTAGGTTCCTGGTCACAGTAACATCTCTGGCAATGAAGCCGGAGATGAATTGGCAGGAAGTGGCCTTGAGACAACTGTTCTAGAGATTTAGAGCTCGGTGAAGCCACCCTTGTGTCACTTCTTCCAGATAATACATAAACATTATTCCAGAAAATTTCAGCATAATTGGTAAAATGCAATAGGCTGTATTGCTTCCAAGAACATTTTGCCGGTGATCTTCGAAAGGAGATCTCTATCACTCACTTACATACCGAAATCTTGACTTAAAACTTGTAGTAGGCCCAATCACAGGTTAGGCCATGACTTCTAAGTTATTACTGACTTTTGCAGGCTTTGCCAAAACAAGGAAGATATAGAAACTGTGGAACATTTACTCTGTCACTGTCCAACTCTTTTTAGAGCCAGACAGAGGCTCACGGGTAAGCAAACTGCATGATCTGTCTTCTCTCTCCAATACTGAGCCATCTACAATTCTTCAGATTCTCTTCTTCTTCTCTAACATAATCTTTATCTATCTTCATTTATTTTCCTTTTACTCTAATCAGGATAAACACAATGGACCAGCAGGTCTCCAATTGGAGCAGTTGCTAAGCAACTGCGCATCCTTTAACCTAACCTCACCATCTTTGATAGAGACATAAAAACGTTACCACAAAAATTAAATTATTTATTGAATTATTGAAAATGTATTCGATGCTCTCTTTTTTTTTAAACGACCCCATAACAAAAAAATATAAAAGTTTAAAATACTACAGTCAATTATAAGTTCGCAATACTTGCATTATCGAAATAGTTTTTAAAATTGTGTTTAGCCAGTCACATTGAGTCCTTTATAGACTCTATCTCTAGTTTCTTTTTATGTTTTGGGGGAACAATAGAATTCATTATGATTTGCAAAGCTCTACTGTACTATCAGATTCAGCTGATTTGCTAAGATCTTAGCAACTTTGTACCTGCAGACTAAGACAAATCGTAAAGCATTCGAAAAATCTCCGCACCTTTTCTTTTGTAGGGAGTATAAAATGTCACAACTTGACACCTTTTCAGCTGGATAAGCAAAACCATGATACAATAATTCAGACAGCCGCATCAACACAGCTGGTTGTCAAATAAACTCACAATACATTTTTTGAAAAATATTTGAAATCAATTTATTTTTGTAGAGACTTTTTGATATTTTTTTACATATCCATGAGGAGTTGCCGTCTTACTAATATTTATTTTCTTGGCCCCTTTAGGTATGTTACACACATCCGGCTTGTATGAAAGACGCAATCACCGGGCTTCCGAAGATGCCGATGCCATGGCCTTAATGCGTAAAGCAGGTGCTATCCCCTTCGCATTGACCAATGTTTCCGAGGTTTGCATGTGGTGGGAGAGTAACAACACTGTGCATGGGCGCAGTCGTAATCCCTATGATACCAATCGTATTGTGGGTGGTTCAAGTGGCGGTGAAGGCTGCATTCAAGCCGCTGCTGCTTCGCCCTTCGGTCTTGGCTCAGACATTGGTGGTTCCATACGTATGCCTTCGTTTTTCAATGGTATTTTTGGCCATAAACCATCGAAATTTATTGTTTCCAATATGGGTCAATTCCCCTTGCCAAACTGCGAAGAACAGCACTCATTTTTGGGCATTGGTCCCATGGTGAGACATGCAGAAGATTTAAAACCCATGTTAAAGATAATAGCTGGCGAAAAGGCCTCCCAATTGAAGCTGGACGAACCGGTTGATGTACAAAAACTCAAGTTCTTCTATCAGGAAACAGACGGTGGCGGCCGTCTTGTTTCGCCCGTAGATTCTGATCTCATTGACGCCATTCATCGCATTGTTGATCATTTGCAAACAAAACTCAAAGTACCTGTGGAACAGGTACAGTTGCCAGCATTCCGACAATCCGCTTCCTTATGGTTCGCCAATATGAAAGACGATACGGGTCATGCCTTTGATTATCAGTTGGGCAACTGTAAACGAACGATTAATACCAAACTGGAATTGGTAAAATGGATTTTCGGAGCATCCAAGCACACATTGATTGCTTTATTGACAGCATTACTGGACAAATCACAGCCTCAACATGGTTCCTCAAAATATCATTATTTAGTTAAGAAACGCAATGACCTGCGCGATGAAATGCAACAACTATTGGGCGACAATGGTGTACTCATCTACCCAACCCACCCCACCGTAGCTCCATATCACAATGAGCCCATCATTAGACCCATTAACTTCTCCTATACTGGTATTGTCAATGTTCTAGGATTCCCGGCCACAAATATCCCCCTGGGCTTAGGTTCTGAAGGTGTACCACTTGGTGTACAGGTTATTGCCAATTTTAATCAGGATCGTTTATGCCTGGCCGTTGCCGAAGAACTAGAGAAAGCATTTGGCGGTTGGAAGAGACCAGAAGTACGCATTTAGTTTAGTGTTTAAGTCATCGATCATTGACCCTCCATTAAACGGTGTGTTTTTTTTTGTCTCTAGAAAAGAATATGAAATTGACAAACATACATATTTTTTGAATAATTTACTAATATTCCATCATTTACTACCCACTAATATTAATGAACTACTTGCATACATATGTAGTAATGTATTTATATGTCATTTAAAGTAAGTTTTATATGCAACCACTAACAACACATATGCCGTTGTTTAAAGCGAGTTTTTGTTTGTGATTTTTAAAATATTTTCTTTATTTTCATCGCATGTGTCGAAAGATCTTCAAACCTAAATTAGTAACGTTGTACAATAGATAAGTGTTTCGTATGTATTCAAAATCTAAAAATCAAAAATATATATTTACACGTATACATTTATGTATAGCCGTGTTTGTTATGGTATCAGTCTATATCTTTTTTTTTTAATTTGAAGTTTTGTAGGATGTAACTTTTTATGGTGCCGTAAATTCAAATACGGACAATATGAGAAATTGCCAAATCCCACCCGCGACTTGAAAGTCAGTTAACCACAGCAGTGGCATTTTTCGAAATGAAATAGTTTGAAAAATACCATTTGTTTAATTTTTTTTTATTCCAATGAAAAGGACGAGGAGCAATACGTAAGATGAGTAGTACAAGTATCGCATGTTGATTCTTAGCCTCGCAATCGAAAGCTCCTACTTGAAGGCGCCGATATGCCTCTTGTCGTGAAGGGACTACTGTATGTGTTTAGTAGCTTGGAGTAATTAATGACTAAATAATATCCTTATTTATGGCAGCTCTGAATTTTTTTTTAAACCTTGATATATTTACTTTGTCCTATTAATTTTGAAAAAAAAAGCAAGTAAAAAAGCAATAAGTTAGGCCGGGCTGAACTTTGAATACCCCCACCATTTGGAACGAATTTGGAAATTTTCAAAAACATAAAATCCGTTAAAAATTCTGTTAAAATCTTAAAAATACCGAATGTAGAAGTTATATTAGGGGCTATATGATGACGTAGACCTGCGTAGGCAATTTTTGCCATAAGCCATTACAATATTCAAATGCGAAACTTGAAAAAAAAACATCGGTGAATAATGTAGCTAAATTCATCAAAATATCGACAATCGGGAGGTGCAGTTATTTGGGGGTTATATGAAGACGTGGACCTGCACAGACATTTTTCCGTCTTAGGCTGTAGTATCCATTACGAACTTTAAATACCAAATTTGAAACAATTCATGCGAATACTGTCGCTAAAATCATCAAAATATCGAATATAGGGAGGTACCGTTATATGGGAGCTATACCAAAACTTGAATCTACATGGCCCAAAAGTCCTGCAGACATAATATACATTTGAGTAAAATTTTATGAACCTACTTCATTTCGTTCGGAAGTTAGAGTGATTTCGACAGACAGACGGACACCGCTAAATCGATATAGAATTTTATGCTTATCAAGAATATAAATACTTTATGGGGTCTAAAATTTATATTTCGTGGTGTTACAAACGGAATGACGAACTTAATATACCCTCCAGACTTTTATTGTTTTCTCAGAATGAGTCAACAAATATACGGACATCATCTGCCTTAATTTTTCCTATAAATTGTTTAATGGACATCGACATTTTTACGAATTTCTGTAAAATTGTTCCGACGTGTGGAATTATCAAATAAATGGATTAATGTAGTTCTGACAATGGTGTGATATTTCCACCTGCATATGCTGCTGTGACTTATCCAATAAAATGAAAACATCCAGAATTTCATATTTTTATTTGAAAATGTGAGGTTTTTTTATTTCATTTAAAATGAAGCTTTTAAGGTAGGTAGGTATTTGTAATTATATATTTATATGTATGTATGTATATAAATGTAAATAGTTGTTGTTGTATATATATATATTAACATTACGAGTTACATGTTACTTTTTCTTTCTGAAATTCGAAATTTCTACACAAACTTGAACCCACACTCAATAAATCTGGAAATTAATGTTCGTTCCTTTTGAAAATTGAACAGAAAAAAATTGATAAGAATAAATTCAAAGTAAAACAAAAGAATTTAAAAGCATATCACAACATTCTTTTGTAAATAACGAAAAACTATATTTTGGTTGCTTGTATTCTAATGAAAATAACTGTTTTTTTCGGTAAATGTTTACTTATATTGTTGATAGTGTGGGTTTAAGTTTGAAACTAAAATTATGGCTTACAAAACTATCATTGGGTTATAATTTCAAATCAAATGCAGGAAATTCACGTTTTTTTGTGTTTATACTTTTTAATCCAAAAATATTAAAACATATGCCCCTTGCAATGCAAAATCATTTTGCGCGCCATGCGCTTTGATTCATTTGGTCGCAACGGAAGTCCATTCTATTGGAAGGAGTATAATCAAACATACATAACTATAACTTGTGTTGTAAGAAAACTACAAACTAACTAAGAGTAATTGAATGATCGATTGAATTCGAATCATAATAAAAATCAATACAATATGAAATACAAATATTAAAAATCACTTAAAATACAAACTTAGATTTTGCCGCCCAGCGACTGTATTAGCTTAATAAGATCGGAGCGCTTGGCCGATATGGTGTCCTGATGTAATGGCCCCACACCTTCAACACATTCAAATCGATTGACATTGTCGGCAATATTATCGGTCATACAGATCACATGAATTCCACAATCATAGCCATTGGCCTGTTGCAGACAACGGATGGGTTTCATATGGGCATTTCGACAATTTAATGCATCCTTAATGCGTTGCACAAACTGATGCGAAGCATTCGAATTGCTATTGCCCAACGAATCGAAATGGAAAAATGTCTTTTCAGGCCGTGAAAACACCAACAGTGACCAGTGCGTACCACCTGCATCTGTTGACTCATTGTCATTGAGTACAAAGAATATAAAGGGTTTTTTGGGAGCTTCCAATTGATTGAGTAACGTTTCTAATTCACCATCATCGGAAAACTTCATGCATTGTGTTACTTCTGGTGGTACAAACAGCAAGTCTGGATTGTTTTTATATTTTACTCGCTCCAGATATTCGTAATAGAATGATATTATTTGATCATTTAACCAATATGGACCGCTTAAGAGTTGAACATCGGATGTCCTTAAACAGGTCTCATTGAAACTTAGAGCAATCGGATCGGCATGAGAATAGGAACTCATTTTGTATTCTGATTTTTAGTTCACAATTAAAATCAAACAACATATATATATATAGTGAGGATTTCTGCAGTTACTTATTCCTGTTCCTCTTATCTAAAATGTAAAGATACTGTTATAAGCAAAAGTATGAAAATGTTTTTACCAAAGAATAACAATTTGCAAAATAACTTATTACGAAGCTAGAAACCATGCTAAAAAGTTTACCTTTATTCGTCTTCAGATATATTAAAATTTGATGGAACTTAATAACAAAATAGCAAGAAAATAATAATTAGTTTTCATTTCGATTGCAATTCTTCGGAATTTTTAGTTTGCAGTCCTATATTTATGTACTTTTGATCAGTCATAAATTCTAGGACAATTAACAAATTTCCGCCTGCCTGTTGTAAATTGAATAGTTAATAACTTGTTGTATATTTTAAGTACAGTTGTTCTCCTCTTGCCATTTATCAAACCGGCGTTTGAACAAGTCTCTGAATTTTCCGGCTATAGTTGGGATATTTCTTTAAAATCCCATACTGAAATTGTTCTATTTTATTTATTGTGGCATATAGCGAGTTCAAGTCTCTCATAAATGCAATACATATCGGAAAAAGTACTATGTAGGAAATTTCAAAAATTGTGCAGCAACACCATGTGGAAAACTGGTTTTGGAAAATATGAATTAAAAGGATCATATGACATTATGTCGAAATCCACTAAAATGTACATGGCAAATAAACGTTCTATTCAGATTGCATCCAAACAAATGTTTTATAATAAAAATACTACACTGCCACCACTTAACATAAAATAAGCGACAAGATAATGCATGCCTGACTACATTTTGCATCTCCAAATGTTGCATGATGTCGACAACTAATCGCCACATAACTTCTGTGAATTCTAAGACGCAGATTTATCAAACACTAATGCTTTTGATATATACAGTTTATATTATTAGTAAAAGATATCAAATATCTGTTCGAAATGAATACTGGTCCACACTTAAATCGAATCGCATTCCTACTTCTTGGTTAGACATATTTCATTTCATCTGACGGACATAATTGATTTTATTTGTGTATGTACCTCTATTTCTTGAAGAATATTATTAAATTCTCACAATTTGATTATATTTTTGTTGTTGTTTTTATCTATAATTAACATTTATTATGATATTTTTACCAACAAACAAACAGTTCGCAAAATTTAGCAACGCAAAATTTTCCAGGGATCAACAGATTGAAAAACGAATATTTCCAGGGATCAACAGGTTGAAAAATGTATGAGCAAGAGTTCAATCAATGTGTATTAAATAAGGTATATGTGACAATCTACTACTCTTGGTCTGTTTTTTTTTATTAATTTAATAATAGAATAAATTTTACTGATTATATTGTATTAAAAAAATAGAATGTTTTATTGATGAATTTTAACGGCAAATTTATTTTTGTCTATTTTCACACAGCAAGCAACCAACGCTTTTGATTCAAATACATTTTTCACACGCTGTGATTGGAAAAGTGCGAAAAATTATTCAAATTTGTAAAAGTCTACCTTTATTCTTCTACAATGGTTGTAATCAAAATGCGTATTACAATGTATGTATGGACAAAAATTGCACTTTTTGTGTGAAATAAAATTTTTATATAAATGTAGAAGGTAAATTTAAAAAGAAATGTAGACCATTTATTGAATTTTCGCTTTTTTATATTTTCTAAATCAAAGCAACAAGTTGTTTTGTTTATTTTATAATAAACAAGTTGTTGCATTTGTTTGATAGTAATAACACAAATAAATTTGGCTGTTACATACTTCGATTTCATTGTACCATGGTATGCACTTCAAGGTGAGAATGCATAAAAGGCTTTTGACTGGCTTAAGTCATCCGCGGTCTCCTTGTTTGATCTCCGTAAAAGGACAAAGGAGTTTTAAGTTGACTTAGTTCAATTTCGGTCCATAATTTATACTTGTTTACCCTACGCTCCTTCGTAAAAGAGTAAAGGAGTTTTAGGTTGACTCCCGATAAAGATATGTATATAAACACATTTTACCTTATCTGTCAAAACTAATGACTTTTAAGTGAGGTTTGATCAAATTATACTTTTTCCTAAAATTTTGTATGCATTTTGCGGAAAAGGTGCACTCTAGAATCGATATAAGTAAGGTTTTAGAAGGGGCGAAGAAAAAGTCGATAATAATAGAAAAAATCTCTGTAATATTATACAAAACTTCAACGTCTATAATGCGGAAATGTTTTTCGTGGTAAAGGATCAGCGACACCACATTAGGTAATATAGTCGTATATTTCATGTTTCCTAAAATTGCAAAATGTTGAATACTTTACAATTTGAAAGTGATGTTGCCTTTTCCACGATTTTCTAGTGATTGCTTGGAGTGTTGAGAGATTTGGGCCTTCAACCAACAATTATACATGCAGGGAAATGATACGAAAGCATTAACATTTATTATTTTAAAAACTGTTCTTCTGAATTTTAATGAAACAAATTTCAAAAACGTATAATTTTGAAATTAAAATAATTTATTGAAAATTAATTGTTTTGTTAATATTTTTGGACATATAACCCTGACTCTTGTTATACGTACAAAAACAAATTTGTATGTGGTTGTTGTTACGTTTGTTGTATAGCAACACTTGCTTTTACTTGTATTATTCTACCATGTGTAAACTGTAGAAATAGTTAAGAGAATAGAACTGACTGTTCTTTTGACTATAGCTTGAACTTAAAGGTGGGAATACATTAAAAGGTTTTTTTTTGACTGGCTTAAGTCATCATCTGGCTTCTTCGTAGATGAACAAAGGAGTTTTAAGCTGGAAATACATAAAGCGCATATTTGGCTGGCTTAAGTCATCGGTTGGCTTCTTCGGAAATGAACAAAGGAGCCTAGGGCCAAAATCGAACTAGGTCAACCTAAAACTCCTTTGTTCATCTACGAAGAAGCCAGCCGATGACTTAAGCCAGCCAAATATGCGCTTTATGTGTTTCCAGCCTTAGGCTCACTTAATTCGATTTCAGTCCTAAGCACCTTTGCCGGTCAAAAAAGCGTTTAATGTATTCTCATCTTAAGGGTCAGGTATATAAATAACTTTTTTGACTGGCTTCTTCGTAAAAGCGCAAAGGGTTTATAGCTTGATTTAGTTCAACTTCGGTCCAAAAATTTGACTTGCTCGACATACGCTTCCTTAAGCTGGGAATACATAAAGCGCTTATTTGGCTGGCTTCTTCGGAAATGAACAAAGGAGCCTAGGGCCAAAATCGAACTAGGTCAACCTAAAACTCCTTTGTTCATCTACGAAGAAGCCAGCCGATGACTTAAGCCAGCCAAATATGCGCTTTATGTATTTCCAGCCTTATTCTGTTACGAAGAAGCCAGCCGATGACTTAAGAAGTCAGAAAAGGGTTTTATGCATTCTCACCATTAGTCCGGGAAGGGAACAGTAACAAAGAAACATATTTTTTTTTTGCTTATGATAATGCATTTAAGATGTGTTCCTGTACTTTTTTAGTAGTAAAACTAGCAGAAGAGAGAACAGTACGAAATGCCATTCGAAAATAAGGGAACGGAAAATTAGCAGAAATGCGATAAAATGTCAACATTCAAAATCCCAAAAGAAAACAGTCTAAATCGGACTGGTGAAACCTTACTGAAATGGACGCCAAAATTTAAAAAAATGAGTATTGAAAATAAGTTAAAATTAATAATTATTTTTGAATACTGTTTATTCAGAAAGTTTTGTTTTCAGAATGCGTTGAAGAGTATTTAGAGGTGGAGTTTTCTCAAATCCCCATCCCGGGGAAACTGACATGGTTGGAGGCGCCGGTTAAATGATTGTTAAGTCTGTTAGAAGACTTAAGCTGGGAATACATAAAGCGGTTATTTGACTGGCTTAAGTCATCGGCTGGCTTCTTCGTAGAGGAACAAAGGAGTTTTAGGTTGACTTAGTTGGATTTTGACCCTAGGCTCCTTTGTTCATTTCCGAAGAAGCCAGCCGATGACTTAAGCCAGCCAAATAAGCGGTTTATGTATTCCCAGCTTTAATGCCACATGTTGGGAAGACAGCCAACCTAAAAATAAAAAGAAAATTTTCGCAAAAATCTTTGATTTTAAGCTTAATTTTTCAATTTACCTTTCACTAATTTTGAACTGTTTTCCAATACGTTTTCTTCGTCTGATTCCTCATTCAGCCAGTCCTCTTCACTCCTGGAATCATCCAAAGGTGAATCATCAGTTGCTCCATATTTTCTGTTTTTGTTTTTTGCGCGACAAATATTAGTTATTCCTTTAGTGTTTAAGTTTATATTTTTTCTTTACATTTGTTGTCACGCGCGAACTTTGAAATGTATCAATACATTTTTCAACCTTGTTAGCCCTGCCAATTAAATGTCAAATTTACAATTTGCACATTTCTGCTCGGCAAATTTCATGTAGCTAAAACAAGCAGAAATGTGCACCACTCAGCGCCATTTTTTTCTCGAGAGAGGGAGAGAGTTTTGCTAGTTTTTGGAGTACGGGAACGCGTTGTAGCCGAATTAGCACTAATTAGTACTAATTTGTAGGTTCTGGAAAACAACTTTAAAGTAGCACTATGTTCCTAGCAGGAGATCACCAATGTGAATAAATATATATTAAATTAAGTTTTTTATAGTTTTTCGTTTCCGTACTTTCACATAAAATTAGTTTTCTCAGATCGATTTTGAGGACATTAGTGTTACAATTAAAAGGTACTAGGATACAGAAAATCAGCGGTGACCTCACTGTCTGTTTGTCTGGTCTAATTTTTAAAACGCAATTAATATTTTATTTGACACATGTTGATATTTAAAAACTATGAACATATGTGTGTATATATGGGCTTCAATATCAAATAAAATAGACTTGATAACTATAATCTAAATCTGTTCGTTCTTATCATAGAATATGTCTAGCTTTAATCAGGCTTACATATACATACATAAACATTTACACACGGATCACCTTATCAAAATAAAAAAAAAAAACGTGAAATCAAGCATTTAATTGTAGGCAGATGATTTCTATATGGTAGGTAAGAGTGATAGACAAAAAAATTCACATAAAAATCAATAGAAAAGTACTCTCACCTTACCACGTAAGGGTCAAAGTGTTTCCAATCTTAAACACCAATGCATTTGGCGCACTTATGAACAATTTTATTTGTTAGTATTTGTTTTGATAATAAAAACATATTTTAAAAAACAATTTTTGGATTAAAAACGGTGTTGTGTTTGGTCTAAGGGAATTTTATATACCCTAAAGGCCTAAAAACGCAAGGGTGGGAATACATAAAGCGCTTATTTGGATGGCTTAAGTCATTGGCTGCCTTCTTCGGAAATGAAAAAATGAGCCTAAGGCCAAAACTCCTCTGTTCCTTTAAGACGAAGCCAGCCGATGACTTAAGCCAGCCAAATAAGCGCTATATGTATTCCCACCTTAAGAGAACAACTTTCGGTGAATAAATGTGAGAATACATAAAACTTACATAACACATAAAATCTGACTTAAGTCATCGACTGGATTCATCGGAAATGAACAAAGGAGCGTAGGACCAAAGCCAGTCAAAGAAGCTTTTTATGTATTCTCACCTTTAAGTTATCGGCTAGCTTCTTCGGAAAAGAACGAAGGAGCGTATGGCCAAAATTGAACTAAGTCAACACAGAACTCCTTTGTTCCTTTACGAAGAAGTTAGCCGATGACAGTCAAAAAACCGTTTTATGTTTTCTCACCTTTAAGCCAGTCAAAAAAGGCTTTTATGTATTATCACCTTTAGTTTAGCTATATAGCATCACACATTTTATATTGGATTCTCTAGTGAAAAAAATCATAAAATTCAAAAATTGAAATTCAAAAATTGAAATTTGATCTGCTGTAGGTTATTAATAAATCCTCGTGCATTTGAGCCTCATTCTTTCATATATAAACATCACTTTATAGCAGCTATGAACTTTGGGGTCGCATGCTTTGGACAAGCTGAAATTTAGTTCCCACCAAACAAAATAAAACAATAAATGTTTGTGTATATATAACAATGTGTCTACGTGACAAAACGGCATGCATTGAGACAACAAAAAATTAGGCAAGCAATCGGCTTTAATCTAGTTTGTTCCACAATTGAAAAAAAACATTGATTATCTATATAAACAGTGAATTAACCTTAACACTATGACGTTAAACTATCCCCAAAACTTGAATTCTTGGGAGCATGGTCGCATTGTTTCGCTGAATGAGATTTTTGTTTGTCCTCCTAATGTGTAAAGGTTTATTGTCATCACTGTCTCGTGCCGTCACAACATGGTCGGCGTTTTTGCTTGTTTTGATTGTGATGATAAGGGCTATGGAATCTTCCATTGAACTTAATTCATGTAGGTGCAAATATTAGGTGCAAATGATTATTGTATTAAGGTCCATTATATTACGTTTACGTTGAAATGGATTTCGGAACCCCAGTTGATTTAACTAGTCAATTCCATTGCAAAAACTTAAAAAAAATTCTCGCAAAGAAGGTTAACCTGAAAAAACTATAATGTAAACATACCCTTTCCATGAGTTTTGTGTAAAGGTGAGAACACCTAAAGGTAGGAATACATAAAGCGCTTATTTGGCTGGCTTCTTCGGAAATAAACAAGGAGCCTAGGGCCAAAATCGAACTAAGTCAACCTTTGTTCCTCTACGAAGACAGCCGATGACTTAAGACAGCCAAAAAAGCGTTTTATGTATTCTCACCTTTAGGGTGGGAATACATAAAACGCATATTTGGCTGGCTTAACAAAGGGATTTTAGGTTGGCTTAGTCCGATCTTGGACCTACGCTACTTTGTTCTTTTTCGAAGAAGCCAGCCGATGACTTAAGGTGAGAATATCGGCTGGCTTCTTTGGAAAAGATCAAAGGAGCGTAGGGCCAAAATCAAACTAAGTCAAACTAAAACTCCTTTGTTCCTCTACGAAAATGCCAGCCAAGGACTTAAGGCTGGAAATACATAAAGAGCATATTTGGCTGGCTTAAGTCATCGGCTGGATTCTTCGTAGATGAACAAAGGAGGTTTAGGTTGACTTAGTTCGATTTTGGCCCTTGGCTCCTTTGTTCATTTCCGAAGAAGCCAGCCGATGACTTAAGCCAGTCAAATAAGCGCTTTATGTATTCCCAGCTTAAGCCATTCAAGAAAGCCTTTTATGTATTTCCCCCTAAAAGGCTTTTTGACTGGATTAAGTCATCGGCTGGCTTCTTCGAAAAAGAATAAAGGAGCGTAGGGCCAAAATCGAACTAAATCAACCTAGAACACCTTTGTTCCTCTACGAAGAAGCCAGATGATGACTTAAGCCAGTCAAAATGCGTTTTATGTATTCTCACATTTACTTTATAAAAATTTTATAAAAATTCCAGCCGATAACTTAAGGCGCGGATTCATACAAGGTATTTTTGTTGTCACTTTAAGTCATCGGCTGACTTTTTCGTAAAAAAACAAAGTGGTGTAGGGTCCTTTGTTCTTTTATGAAGAAGCCAGATGACTTAAAATAACAACTAATCTAAGCGTTTATGTCTTCTCTTTACCTTTATATCTTCACCTTTTCTCCTTCCCATTTATACACAAAGAATGAATGCAAATTCGTTTTATAATTTACAAGATTAATAACCCAAACAAGTTCGAAAGAAAAATATAAAAAATGGCCCCAGTTGAGTGGGTTATCAGCATAATATAAATGATGAAATATAACAACAAAAAGCTGCCCCCTTTTTGTATTCGGGCATGTTTAAAGGAACTCGTGTTAATGAAATTTGTTCGTGCTTTATTAAATAAATCAGGCTAAATTTTCTTGTTCTTGTAACGTTTCTTAACTGATTTTAAATGCAAGTTTCCGCAATAGTTGGTACGTATAAACTTACATCTGGCATCCAAATATAATCGAATAAAAAATCGGTGCAATCTTATCAATGTGCTCAAGTATAATCACAAAGATTCCAACCTATCAATCAATACCGTTGTTGCTAGGTCCATTGTTTACTTAAAAATGTAAACATGTGAAAGATCATTCGAAAGATGCTGATCTGTCAGCGGTTGTTATTGTTTTATATAAAGATAATACCAAAAAATGGTTATAAAAGGTAAATTTAATGCAACTTTGAACCTGCGCTACCAGAGCTCTGTTTCAGAACTGTAAATATGTAGAAGCTTTTATTACGATAACCTATTTTCCGTTTATGATATCGAAAAAAAATGCAAAACTAATAGATTCCTACAGGTTCTATGACAGAGCAAATATAAGACATCGCATGGTAGAAGAATATAGGTAGACGCGTCGAAACAGCTGCTGGGACTATGAACTGTCAAACCAATTTTGGAATTGAAAATGTTTAATGAAAAATTATTTAAATTTGTAAAAATTGTTGAAAAACGCGAATTATAACAGCCTTCGAATGACGTAGTATAAGAAAACATATAAAAATCTACTTATATTTGAAAAAATTTTGAATTTTATTGACATATCAATGCTCCCAAGCGTTGATGCATCTACCTGTATTATTCTGCCATGACATCGCAAAAGCTACCATGTGTTCACACAAGACAAATTTCCAAAATCATACTGCAGTTAGATATTCCATACATATTGATGAAATCGATTAATAGCGCATTTATACTATTCATGGTAGAAGAATATAGGTAGACGCATCGACACAGCGGCTGGGACTACGAACTGTCAAACCAATTTGGAATTGAAAATGTTGATTGAAAAATTATTTAAATTTGTAAAAATTGTTGAATACGCGTATTATAATAACCTCCGAATGACGTCATATAAGAAAATATATAAATCTACTTATATTTGAAGACATTTTTTGACATATCAATGTCCCGAGTATTCTTCTACCATGATACTATTGAAGAGAAACGGTGAAAATACATAAAATGCTTTTTAAAATGGTATAAGTCATCGCCTGGTTTCTTCGGAAAAGAACAAAGGGGCATAGGCTCAAAATCGAACTAAGTCAACCTAAAACTACTTTGTACATCTACGAAGAAGCCAGTTGACGGCTTATGCCAGTCAAAAAATTGTTTTATGTATTCCCACCATTATGTATTCTTACGATTAGCGAATACTTTGATTTCGTCGCTAACTTTCCGATAAATTTCGTTAATTATAAGAATTTTTTCAAAAAAATGAGTTAAGGTGAGCATACATAAAAAGCTTTTTTGACTGGCTTAAGTCATCGGCTGGCTTCGGAAAAGAGCAATGGAGCGTAACTAAGTCAACCTAAAATTTCTTTGTTCCTCTACAAGTCAAAAAAGCGTTTTATGTATTCTCACCTTTAAAGAAGGTTATGAGCCGACTTTAAACTAAGTTAACCAAAACTCCTTTGTTCTTTTACGAAAAAACAAGCCAGTAATTGATGCTAGAAAACCACCTTTCATATATTTTCAAGTTTACTTACAATTAACAAATAAAGGCAAAAAAGGTGCGAATTTTCCCACTATCCTCTTTTATAACATTATTTAAAATACATACTTCAAACTTGTCTATACTCGATAGTGCCCACAATCCGTAATGCCTTTCAGTGTTTTTGTTTGTCTTTCAGTTATTTATATAACAAAAACACTCAATATTATCTCTGTTTTGCACATTATCAACGACAACAACCAAAGCCTGGATTGAGTTAAAGTATAAATAGTCGTCGGGTACGAAAGCAGCATTTCACAAACGTTTTAGCTGTCCGGGTCGAACGGTCGGTGGTACTTCTTCTTTTAAATTGGCGCTTTAAAGAAAAACAAAATAAAAACTAACATAAAAGCGTAACGTTTTCCTTATTTCTCCGTTATAAATTTACAAAACATTTTGAATGGTGACTGTGCAAAGTGTAAATCTTACCACACAAAAATCTAAAAATCTCACGGACTTGCAACATCAACTGTTGTTGCAGTTGAATGACACTTGCATTGAAATACAAAATCAAAACGATTTGAATTTCTTAAGAAAACAAGTGATATTAAATATTCTGGAAATTTGCCAAGGTAAATTATTGTGATTAAAATGCAAAAAAATATATGTATTTTAAAAAAAATATGTGTATAGAAAATGATAAATGAAAAAATGTGGATCTTAACCTTCGTTCTAATCACCATAATATGTGCTGATGCTGATCATTAAAATAGTTTCATTGTGGTTACTGTGAGACTGTAATGAAATACCGACCTACACTTTTCCATTTGTTTGTATTGTAGGTCTTATCAGCAATTAAGGTCAATCGTACTGAACTTTGGTTTTATTTTGACGAGATAGAATACAATAAGTTTGATGTGGCATTATTGTTATTGTCCCGAATAGAAAAAATGCAAAAATGCATATTTTCATAAAAACAAATATGATTTGAAAAATATATTATATGTGAAGTGCATGTGATACTGCAATTTTCGAATCACCAATGTAATTAAGAATTTCCCGTTTTTCATTGGATTACAAAGAAGGGAACAAAACGAGTAAAGGTGAAAGTACTTAAAAACCTTTTTCGATCCTCATCTGGCATCTTCGTAGAGGAGCAAAGGAGTTCTAGGTTGACTAAGTTCGATTTCGGTCCTAGGCTCCTTTTTTCGATGCCGATGACTTAAACCAGTCGGATAAGAGCTTTATGTATTCTCACCATAAATGCTACTTTCGACAGCTCCATGAAGAAGAATACAGGTAGAATAGAAGAATACAGGTAGATTCTCAACAACATTTGGAAACATTGATAAAAAAGATGAATAATTTTTTATTAAAAAAATTCAATGCAACATTGGTTTGACAGTTCATTGTCCCAGCAGCTGTGTCCTTGCGACTACCTGTATTATTCTACCATGAACAGTTCTCACTGCCAAAAATGAATTTTTCCATTGTAGAAGAATAAATTTAGGTGCATCAACACTTGGAAACATCAGTATGTCAAAAATTTTAAAATGTTTTTTCAAAAATAAGTAGATTTCTGTATTTTTTCCTATACGACACCAATAGGAGATTGTTATGAAATGCATTTTTTTTAACAATTTTTACAAATTTAAAAAACTTTTCATTCAAAAATTTAAATTCCAAAAATAATTTGGTAGTTCGTTATCCCAGCAGCTGTTTCGATTCGACTACCTGTATTCTTGATGCACATTGATATGTCAAAAATATCAAACAATTTCTACAAAAATTAATTGATTTTTAATTATTTTTTGACAGTTCATTGTTCCATCAACTGTGTTAATGGGACTGCCTTTATTATTTTTATCATGCCAAAACAATAAATTTAAAATATATTTTCCATAGCCAAATTTATTGGAAAAAATTTTGTATGCCGATTAACGCTGATAATTGACAAATCCCAATAAATTTGAATTCTTACGGTTAATCACAACAACAAAACGATGCATATGAACGTACTTTAAAAAATTAAAAATCTCTGTTAAGGTGAGAATACATAAAATGCTCTTTTGGTTGGATTAAGTCATCGGCTGGGTTCTGCGTAAAAGAACAAAGGAGTTTTAGGTTAATTTAGTTCAATTTCGGTCGGAAATTTACACTTGTTCACCCTACCCTTCTTTGTTTTTTACGAAGAAACCTAACTCATCGGCCAGAAAAAAACTCTTTATGTACTCTCACCTTTAATCTAAAACCTTTTAAGTTAGAATGAACGAATCCTCCTTTGCGATGTTTCCATGTACTTATAGTGGGTTTATACTGTTGAAAATTAACCCAGTGGGTTTGACAGATCTGTTAGGTTAACCTTGTGTGTTAAGGAAGATATAAATGCCACTCAGCTGTATATGCCTATAAATGCCAAATAAGCGCTTTATGTATTCCCACCTTAAGATTTGATTCACATTAGTTATATGTTTGCCATTTTTCTCAAAATTTATATATTTGCAACATCTTAAGATGATAATACATAAAACTCTTCTCTGACTGGCTTAAGCCATCATCTGGTTTCTTCGGAAAATAACAAAGGAGCGTAGGGCCAGAAGCCAGTCAAAAAAGCATTTTATGTATTCTCACCTTTATTGTCATTTTTTATTCATAAATACATTGTACATACACAAATCAGAAATGGAAAGAAATATATTTGCAGAGTAGGACATTATTAATTGTACCATACCATCCGCCCGGAAAATAATGCGAAGGGAAATATAAACACGTCAAGTTAACCCACTAGATGTATTTAATACAGTTGGTTAAACTTCAATCGTATAAATGCGCTATTAAGCAATAAATTCTGACATGGACTGTTCCAGAACTGCAAGAATGTAACAGTTTTTACTGCGATAACGTATTTTCGTTTTATGATACCGAAAAAATTGCTAAACTAGTAGATTCTTGCAGATTCTGAAGCAGACAAAATGTGTGCTAACCTGTTTGCAAATTTGTATCTAAACGTGGTATTATCCCTATTTTGCTCTAATGCTATGTTCACATCAAATTAAGACTGTGATTTTATGGCAGTTGCTCCATGCAAACATATATAAGCTAAATCTCGTTTAAAAACAACGATTAGTATTTTTTCATGGTAGCAGAATACAGGTAGATGCATCAACGCTTGGGACATTGATATGTCAAGAAATTTTAAATGTTCTTTCAAATATAAGTAAATTTTTATATGTTTTTTTATACGACGTCATTCGAAGGTTATTATAATTCGCGATTTTCAACAATTTTTACAATTTTTTTTTTTAATTTTTCATTCAACATTTTCAATTCCAAAATTGGTTCATTGTTCATTGTCCCAGCAGCTGTGTCGATGCGTCTACCTATATTTTTCTACCATAGTGTTTTTTTCTTAGAGCGAGTTAATTTTAAATCATGATGTTAATATTAAGCTTGGTGTCCATGTTTTTTATTCCAATTTATTAATTTTACCAGTCCCTAATTTATATTTAAATTTGTATTTTTCAGACTGTGCAAAAATGGCAGCTTTGCCTCAGGGAGCATTCGTAGCATGCAAATTACGAGACCAATATCGCGATCGTGATCTTATGGTGTCACGCATCAAATCGGGTGGCGATAAGAATGAATCAAAGTTCTATAATTGCAATAAAAAATGTAAGTACAAACAAAAAGGAATTAACTTATATTTACTATTTTGTTTACCAATTTCAATGCAATTTTTGTTTTAATTTCAGTAATGGAATATAGCCCCGTCAAGTATAATGAAAAGCTTATGAATTCTATTTGGGGATTTTACAACCGCTATTCACCCCATAATATCAAGAGTAATGAAATCGTTTCGTATGATCGCTACTTTAATCAGCAACAGCAGTAAGTAGAATACAAATTCCCTTGCTTACAACTGATGATTTTAAATGTCTATTTTTTTACAGATCATCTGCTGTTGCTAACCAGCTCATTGCTCATAATATAGCAATGACTGCCACCTCTTGCATGGAGTGGAATTTTAAAAAGAACTAAGCCAATTTTGTGAAAATAAAAGAAGTCATATTTAAAAGTCATAAATATATATGTTATAAGAGATTATTTGCAATATTTGTTATGTGTTCCCTTTATAATATTTTATATATCTTATATATCTTTATATATCTTATATCTATTTTATATACCATTAAAATATATACTCCATGCATTATAAGTTATAAAAAGTTGAATATCTATTCCACACTGTTGAATTAATAAAACAAGGAGGCGGCACATTAATTTTAACTCTTTGGAATAGTATACAATTTTTAGTTTTTTTATTTAATTGTATTTTTATAAAAAAAATAAAAAAAAATTCTGGCAATGTAGTATGAAGGTTATGTTATTCTGGGGAAGGTGTATTGTAATCAATGAGACATAGACAGAGACACAGTATAGAGAAAAGATAATCACTGTGGCTCAAAAACATTGGGTATTATTCGAAGACTTTTTCCGTCTTTTGTTTATTAGATAGTTTTGTATTTATTGGCATTCAATGATTCCTATGATTCAGGCCTCATTGACAAAATATGAATACATCAGTCTTATTGAGTTGGTGGATTTTTACTTAAAAATGTCATTCCTCCTAAAAGTATGCTTTTAATTTGGCTTTCTAAATTTGTCAGCATCAATACAGGGTGAGATGAAAAAACTGCAACCAACTTTAGACTGCTGTCTTTTCTAAGCCACTCGTCCGACAGCTGTTAAAATTATTCCAGTGGCAACTAATTACATTGTTTACAAGCGTAGTGAGAATTTTCCAGAAAAAGAAGTTATTCGAGATGGAATTCAGGCGTGATAGTGTGATTTCTTTATATTTGGCCACAAGTGGCTTTCTTTACATTTGACCACAAGTGGCTATCGTTAGAGCACTCCAGCATTTAAATGTGAATAAATCTTTTGTGTATTGTACCATCGCTCGTTACCGTGATACTGGTAGAGTAGCCCGACTTCAAGGAAGTGGACGGAAGAAAAGAACAACATCAGCAGAAATGGTTCGAAAAGTAAAGAAGCGACTTGATCAAAATCCGCGTCGCAGTGCTCGAAGAACGGCTTGTAAGCTGAACATATTGCAATATTCCATTTGGCAAATATAAAAAAATGAGCCACTGAAATTCCAAAAATTGCAAGAACTTACACCGCCACAAAAAGAAAATAGACTCAAAAGAGCTAAAGAGTTGCTTTGCTTGGTCGAAAGTGGTGAACTGCCGAATTTGGTTTTCTCCGATGAGAAAACATTAGTTGTCCAGCAGTTTGTAAACAAGCAAAATGATCGTGTTTACTTGCCAAAGAGGTCAGCTGAAAATGTGCAATTTCGGTTGGCCACAAGAACTCAAGCGCCGGCCATATTGATGGTATGGGCCGCCATAAAATCCGATCACAACACCTCTTTAATCGACCGTGACATCAGAATAAAATGCCGAATATTGTCGCAAAAATATTCCGGTGTATTTACGCCTTCGGCACACAAACAATTTGTTCGCAGACCTTGGACGTTCCGACAGGACTCAGGACCATGATGTTTCACATGTTTTTCATTATCATCATTTAAAATACCATTCGATTCTAACATTCATCCCAAATAAAAATAACTTAAGGCCCGATTTCACATAAGGTTAGTCATATGTAAAGTGACTTCTTACACGATTATCTGTAGCATTTTATAGCATACTTTTAGACGCTCCCTAGAATTTTTAATCTAAAAAGATATTCTTTAAAGTGTGGTGCAATTTAAAATAAATATACTAAAAGCATAGAAAAAATATAATACAAGTTTCTTTTATAGTATTTTATGCAGTATAGCATTATTTGTAAGTTTTTAAGAAATGTTGGGTGCTCCTCAAAATATGCTACAAAAACGTAATTTATGAAATACGAAAATCTCGCTTTACTCATGACTTTAACATAATGTGTAACCTAGTCTTTGATGGCAAAAATATCTCGTTTTAAAACATTAACAAGTTTATTTAAGAATTTCGCATCTAACTCCATCTATAGTGAGCATATGCTCTATTACTTTCAGCTTGTCTGTGCAAATCATTTTTCTTCTTTATCACTCTACCCTGACCATATGCAGCATCAAGAATTTCCCAAGCAAATTTCTCGGGGAAATGTACTTTTCTCTCCTTTTCACGTGCCGCTTCCAATAGCCATTTCATAGCCAAGAAGTAGGAACGTTTTTCGGTTATGGGTACCGGCACTTGATATGTCACACCACCTCTTTTAATAGCAGTCAATTGCAACAGGGGACGACTGTTCTCAATGGCCTGTAGCAGCAAGGCATAGGGATCAGCTGTAGCATCTTCTAACTTGCCCAAATTGATTCTTTCGATTTGAGTACGCTTAACACATTCCATGCTCTTGTCGAATAGCTCTCGTGCCAATTTCTTGTTACCTCCGTAGGTCATGTAGTTAATGACTTTCTGTACAATTGGATTATAAAATACCGATAAAGATTCGTCATTTTTTGTGGCTTTTGTTGGCACATGCAGCAACTTGTTATATTCATCTTGCTCTTTTGCAGCCAGCTGAGCTTCTCGGGTGAATATGGGTTCTACATAATGCTTTGGATAGGCAGACATCTGTCTGACCGCCACCAAGCGGGGCAAACTGAAAGAGAACATGTATGAAATCACACTTGATGTTTTGTTTATTATATCTATATGAAATATACTTACAAGGTTCGCACGAAATTATTCATTTTTATTGAAAATTTAATGGAATATGTTATTTAATAACATTCCTTCTTACTATTGCCGATGAAGTAGAGCCCTGTCTGCGTTAAGTTAGCGATGTTGCTCAATTTCGATAACAAAAATAATCGAAATTACCGGGTAACACAGAATATCATGTTTTGAATTGTTTGCATGTGGCCATTTTTGTCGATGAAACTACAATCCTGTTTACATCCAATGTTTCTTAATGCATCTTATTATTTAGACAGTCAATTCCATTGATTATATTTTTAATAAATGATACATCTTTGTAAAAAGCGTAATTTAGGTGTTGTTATAAAGCAGTCTTAAATTTAATCCTAATAATTGACGTAATAAATTTGACTGTGGAAAACATATTAAAACTTTAATGTAATTGGCAAATTATTTCTCCGTTCCAGAACAGCAAGAATGTAAAACTTTTTATTATTTTTTACTTCTTTATGATTTAAAAAAAAGTAAATCCTTTAAGGGCTAAGTATACAAGAATTTTGAAGTCATGGCTAGGCATATTTTGTGACATTTCACAAAGAGATTACAGAGCCGCACTAAAATCCTGACGTCGTTTTCCATTATAATTTGACGTTAGTATGCCTAGACATGACTTCAAGCTTTTTATGTACTTGCACCCTTAAGCTGGGAATACATAAAGCGCTTATTTGGCTGGCTTAAGTCATCGGCTTGCTTCTTCGGAAATGAACAAAGGAGCCTAGGCCCAAAATCGAACTAAGTCAACTTAAAACTCCTTTGTTCATATACGAAGAAGCCAGCCGGTGACTTAAGCCAACGAAATATGCTCTTTATGTATTTCCAGCCTTAAGGCATATTTGGCTGGCTTCTTCGTAAATGAACAAAGGAGTTTAAAGTTGACCTAGTTCGATTTTGGCCCTAGGCTCCTTTGTTCATTTCCGAAGAAGCCAGCCGATGACTTAAGCCAGCCAAATAATCGCTTTATGTATTCCCAGCTGAAGTTTCTGGAACAGAGCATATATCACATGGTAGAAGAGTACAGGTAGATGCATCAACGCTTTGAAAGATTGATGTCAAAATTATTAGCATTTTTTTTTCGATTTTTATATGTTTTCTTATACGAAACCAACCGGAGGTTAGTATAATGTGCATTTTTCAACAGATTTTACACATTTCAATAACAAAGGAGTTGTAGGTTGACTTAGTTTGATTTTGGCCATACGCTCCTTTGTTCTTCTACGAAGAAGCCAGCCGATGACTTAAGCCAGTCAAAAAAGCGTTTTATGTAATCTCAACTTTTTGCCTTTAGGCCGGATAACGATTATGAATGACACATCAGCAGGTTTCTAATGTAAAAGATCAAAGGAAATGACGTTTTAAAAAACCTCATTATATTTGTTGATTTTCTCCTCAATTTTTACGCCAAATTGTTGGCATGCACTGACTTTGAAAATGCTAAATAGTAAGGAGAAAATCGGCATAGTATGTATGTGATAGCAAAATACAACCCCGATTCAAGACAATTTGTGTGTAAACGCCAGAAAAGTTCACAAAACGTTTCTGGCATAAATTATTGGCTAGCTTTTTATATAAATAAAGTTTTTGAGGGCACAATTACAATCTTTGTAACTTATTATTCACGTAGTCAGAAAGCTAGTAAAACTGCATGTGACAATTAAGGGTGAGAATACATAAAACGCTCTTTTGGTGACTTAAGTCATCGGCTGGTTTCTTCGCAAAGAACAAAGGAACATAGGGCCAAAATCGAACTAAGTCAACCTAAAACTCCTTTGTTGCTCTACGAAGAAGCCAGCCGATGACATAAGCCAGCCAAAAAGCGTTTTACGTATTCTCACCTCAATAAATCCAGTGTATTCGAAATGTCGTTACCACTACGCGGACAAGAATAAATTCGACTGGAACTATTGTATATGCCTTCAAATATCAATACATAGTTTTTTTTTTATTAAAGTTTTTATTATTTTTTAGAAAATGTATTAAAAACAAACTATAACAAATTCAATTTAAATAACACGATTCATATGTGGGAACCATATACTTAATATTAATGAATGCATCTTCACCGCCATGTAACTCCAGAACTTGCAATGTTTCATCAATCAAATCTCCCAGATTCATGTTGTTCTTTTGGGCATAGTCAATTTCATCGCCACAATTCACTGAAAACATAAAACAAAAATAACATATAACTTTAGCTTATGACATTTTTTAAAACTAACTTACAATTTTTAACTTTGTAGGCATTAAACATGGGTAATAATTGCCTATAAAATGGCACTAAAGCCGGACCAACTTGATCTGAGGACAAAACCAACTGTTGTATGATCTTTAAAGTGGTGCACATGACTTCTAAATTTTTAGTACTTAAGGCATCTGAAAATAATTGGGAAGCATATAGAAAAATATGTACATTTTTACATTATTTGTCATATAATTAAAGGAATTCACAATGTAAGTAAGGTGTTTTACGAAAACTTGTTGGATGTAAATAAAGGTGAAAGTACACAAAAGGCTTTTTTGAATGGCTTAAGTCATCGGCTGGCTTTTTCGTAGAGGAACAAAGGAGTTTTAGGTTGACTTAGTTCGATTTCGGCCCTAGGCTCCTTTGCTCTTTTCCGAAGACGCCAGCCGAAGACTTCAGCCAGACCAGATTCACGCTTATACGCTCGTTAGTTTATTTACGAAAAAGTCAGTGAAAAAAGCTTTTTATGTACTTGCGCCTAAAATGTTCAATTTCAAAATTGGTTTGACATTTCATTGTCCCGTCAGCTGTGTCGATGCGACTACCTGTATTCTTCTACCATGCTTCCACATTTATACTGGTAGTCGCATCAACACAACTGCTCGGGCAATGAACTGTCAAACCAATTTCGAAATTGAACATTTTAGGCGCAGGTACATAAAAAGCTTTTTTCACTGACTTTTTCGTAAATGAACAAACGAGCGTATAAGCGTGAATTATGGATCAAAATTGAACTAAGTCTACCTAAAACTCCTACAAAGAAGCCAGCCGATGATCTGTATGTACTTCCACCCATGGTAGAAGAATATAGGTAGATGCATCAACGCTTAGGAACATTAATATGTCAAAATTTTTAAATGTTTTGTCAAAAACAAGTATATTTTTATATGTTTTCTTATACGACTCAAATCGCAGGTTGTAATGTTATGTATTTTTCAACAATCTTTGCAAATGTCAATGATTTTCATTCAAGATTTTCAATTCCAAAATCGGTTTGACATTTCATTGTCCCAGCAGCTGTGTCTATGCGACTACCTGTATTCTTCTACCATGCTTCCACCTTTATACTGGTAGTCGCATCGACACAACTGCTCGGGCAATGAACTATCAAACCAATTTTGAAATTGAACATTTTACCTATGGAACAATGACGAAAAGGTAGGATAAGGTAGGAAAAGTTGCACCTTAATGGTGAGAATACATAAAACTTTTTTTACTAGCTTAAGTAATCCGCAGAACAATTAACAATAAGGGACCGATATCGAAGAAGCCAGCCGATGACTAAAGCCAGTCAAAAAGCGTTTTATGTATTCTCACCATATAGACAATGAATACATTTGTTTAATAATAACTTCTTCTCATTCTCCAGCCAACTAGAAGATTGCGCTGTAGTTTATGTGTAAGTTGCAGTTAAATTGAAAAGAGGCGTTACCTTAAGTTTTGTTCATTAAAGTTACTGCAGGGAATAGTTTTGTTGTTTGAAAGAGTATGCGGTGTAAAAAGTGTTTAGCCATTTATCCCTATGAAACAAAAGAAATTCCGCAATATTTGAAGTTCAAACAAAAAATTTCATTACGAAAAAAATACTTTTTGGGAAACGAAAGGTAAGGAAGGTGAGGAAAAGCTCGGAGTTTCTTTTATGAAATTTTTGGGCCTGAATTGTGCGGTTCCAAACACGAGTAATTTCACGAAATAAATTCGTAAGCATTTTTACTACTATAACCGATTTTACCTTTATGATAACGAAAAATTTTCAAACTAGTCGATTCTAGCAGGTTCTGGAGCGCTACTCATAAATTTATGAGTAGTCCTTTAAAATTATACCTTTCACAACATCTCATTGTCAAAATGTTTATTCATAAATCCATTGTATATCAATTATATATCAGAGAACCTGTTTTTTACGCAGTTAAATTTGACAAGATAAATGACAGAAAATGCAGACCTGGGAATATTAAGGGAATGTAAAGTCATGCAATAATAGTTGTGTTCCAGTACTTTTTTAGTAGTAAAACTAGCAGAAGAGAGAACAGTTCGAAATGTCATTCTCATTTAGGTTTGCTCAAAAAATAAGGGAACGGAAAATTAGCAGAAATGCGATAAAATGTCAAAATTCAAATTTCCAAAAGTTAACAGCCTAAATCGGACTGGTGAAACCTTACTGAAAATATCATTTTCTTTATTGAAATGTATCAATACATTTTTCAACCTTGTTAGCCCTGCCAATTAAATGTCAAATTTACAATATGCACATTTCTGCTCGGCCAAATTCATGTAGCTAAAACAAGCAGAAATGTGCACCACTCAGCGCCATTTTTTTCTCGAGAGAGCTGCAAGTTTTGCTAGTTTTTGGAGTACGGGAACGCGTTGTAGCAGAATTAGTGCTAATTAGTACTAATTTGCAGGTTCTGGAACACAACTAATATGTTCACAATTTTTTCAAAATTATTCATTTGACATCTCATTGTCATTCATTAATGTTACCATGGGTACAATAAGGAGGTAGCACAGTTTCGTAAAACTGCAAAAATACAGTCTTGAGGATGTTTCCGCTTTCTGTTAGAATTATTCAAATTATATGCAACAATCTTTTTTTATTTTTTTCCTATTTGTCCTTATGAAAAATCGGATTTTCTTTTGAAAATATTAACCAAACTGTTTAATCTTTCAATTTCATGACAAAACTGATATCTGATAACTAATATCTGCAATGAACGTTTCTTCCATTTATTGATTTTGAAAATATTTTGTTTTTATTATGGTAAAATTAAGAAGGTAAAGTCATTTCATATAAGGACACCTGTCTCTGCATTTGCTGGAACTTACCTTGTCAAATTTCACTGCATAGAAAAAAGGTTCCCATCTCTGATTTGTGTGTATACAATGGATTTGTAAATAATGGATTTGACAATGAAATGTTGTCAAATGCACAATTTTGAAAAAAATGTAAACATATGATTGCTTGACTTTGTTTGATCTTAATTCTACAATGGTTTTTATTTTTCAAAACAATAAAAACATACACAAATGCTCTGTTCCAGTACCTGTAAGAATTTAAAGGTGTAAGTACATAAACAGCTTAAAGTCTTCGCATGGCATATTTTGTGACATATCATAAAGGGATGCCAGAACCGTATTCGAATTCTGCCATCGTTTCCCTTTATAATTTAAATTGATAAGCTTAGCCATGATGCCAAGCTGCTTATGTGCCCTCACCTCAACAGTTTTGCTATTTTTTCGATATTGTAAAGAGGAAAATCTGTTATCGTAGTAAAAACATTTTACATTCTTGCAGTTTCGGGACTTAATTCTTGTTCTATGAAAATGTGAAAAAAACAAATTTATGTCATAATTTACAAAGAAAAAATTTCTTATTTACAATCCCGCCCCTGGAACAGAACAAAGATTGGCAGAAGTCGGGCATACTTATGGTGAGAATACATAAAAAGCTTCTTCGTAGAGGAACAAGGGAGTTTTAGGTAGACTTACTTCGATTTCGGCCTTACGCTCCTTTGTTCTTTTCCGAAGAAGCCAGCCGATGACTTAAGCCAATCAAAAAAGCGTTTTATGTATTTTCACCTTCAGAAAAACAATGTAATCAGCTGATTGCTTTTTCTACGAAGGGGAGGAATATTATACAGCAAATATTGGGAATCATACTTACTTTTCAATGGTAGAATTAATTGTGGTATAACTGGGGCTAATTTATCACCGCCAGCTATTAACAAATCGGATACGCCTTGGCGAGCATAGGTTTTATAGGGATGTTCAGTTTCACAGAGACCGTCGAAGAACAATGGCAAATAAAGGCTGTAGTCCAATTTATCAATATCCACCTGTGACACAAAAAAGGCAAATCAAAAGAAATTATTAAAAACTCAAATCTATATTGATATGCATATTTTATAGTAGGCCTTCTACGAGTAACTCGCTCTTTTTCATTAACTACAAAGCCGCTACATTTATCACCTGGTACAAGAATACATATCCTCTATTTGGTGTTAGTCTTTGGTGTTGGTGCCCTTGTATCCAAAAATTCACGTGCTAACTACATATGATTTTTTATTAATTTGTTTAGCGAATAACAAATCAATCCGGGCATGAGAATAACTGCCAGGTATTGAAATTGAATTTGCAAATCACATTCCGTCAAACATTAGTTTCGTGCTACGAAATATTTAGCTTTTCAAATGGCGTTTGTTGTTGTTGTAGATGATGATTATGACTTTGTTTTGGCAAAGATCCGAGTGTGAAGTCTATAACACTCGATGCTGTTTGATTGATAAAATCGTTTGAAATGTGGTTGTTGTTGAATATCAACAAATAAACAATATTTTCATGTCAAGGATATCCAGCAGACGGTATCACAGTGATTCACCTTTGTAATGGAAATTTCTTTTTGTGAAGGTCACAGAAAAATTTAATTTGGAAGCGTGTCTACATATTAAATATTTAATAAAAAAAGTGTAAGAGGTTCCGTAAATGAGTCTTACGGAACCTCTTATTGGGTTATATCATCGGCTGGCTTCTTCGTAGAGGAACAAAGGAGTTTAAGGTTGACTTAGTTCGATTTTGGCCCTTTGTACTTTTCCGAAGAAGCCAGCCTGTCAAAAAAAGCGTTTTATGTATTCTCACCTTTACGCTCTACAAGTTCGTCAATGTTTACCACTTTGAATGTGCCATAATGAACATGGCAAAACAATAGAGGTAGTCTCATTTGTTACATCGAATATGGCAACTATTTTCCAACGAACTCGACCATTCAAGCAAAAATTATTTTCATACCTAAAGTATTCACGTATGACAAGGGGTAATTATTTATAAAAATCTTAAATAATGTCTAAATTTTGGCAATGATTTTTTGTCTGGCTTAAGTCATCGTCTGGCTTCTTCGTAAAAGAATAAAGGAGTGTAGGGTGAACAAGTATAAGTTATGGACCGAAATTGAACCAAGTCAACCTACAAATAACCGAAATTGAACCATGCAACTGCTTCTTAAGGGTCGAAATACATAAAGCGCATATTTGGCTGGCTTAAGTCATCGACTGGCTTCTTCGTAGATGAACAAAGGAGTTTTAGGTTGACTTAGTTCGATTTTGGCCCAGGCTCCTTTGTTCATTTCCGAAGAAGCCAGTCGATGACTTAAGCCAGCCAAATATGCGCTTTATGTATTTCCACATTAACTTTATTTAGCTTTTCTTGGGCCTTAAAATATTAAAATAGAGATTTAACATACTTTGTCTCAAGGAAATTTTCTCGATGTTGTCAGTTGTTGTGCATTTCTCGAATGGTGTTTTATTTTAAATCAGTATTTAAAGGAGCAAATGCATAGAAAGCTTCTTTCCTATCTCAAGTCATTGGAGGGCTGCTTCGTAAAAGAACAAAGGAGTTTAAGGTATACTTAGTTCAATTTCAACCCAAAATTTTTACTAGGGCAAATAAGTAAAAATGATGGGTTAAAAAGCTTGAAGTCATGGCTAGGCATATTAATGTCAAATTATAATGGAAAACGACGGCAGGATTTTAGTATGGCTCTGTAATCCCTTTATGAAATGTCACAAAATATGCCTAGCCATGACTTCAAGCTTTTTGTGAATTATACCATTAAAAAGCCTTGTATGTACCAACCATGGTGGAATTAAGAAGGTAAAGTTATGCAATCATATGTTTACATTTTTTTAAATTATTCGTTTGACAACATCTCATTATCAACATTTATATTTATAATTCCCTTGTATACACAGAAATGGGAACCTCTTTTATATTCAGAGAAATTTGACAAGGTAAATTACAAAAAATGCAGAGATGGATATGCTTATTTGGAATGAATTTTCCTTCTTAATTTTAACATTGTTCCTGCACCTTAAAAGTGAGAATATATAAATTGCTTTTTCGACTGGCTTAAGTCATCGGCCGGCTTCCTTTATTTTTCTGGTTTCGAATATATTTTTTCTCAATAGTGGTATAAAGGGAGTGAAAATTTCAAAATAGTTGGTCAAAAAATAAATAATTATTGTACGCCCATATCTAAGGAAGAACTAAAAAATATAAATTTGACAATAAAAAATTGTAATCGTAATCGAGATGTCCTTTGTAATTGTACAATGTTAATGAACAAAACTATACATCATAGATTTTTCAAAATTATTCATTTGAAAAAATCTTATTCATAAATCTATCAGAAATACACAAATCAGAAGCTTTGTTCCAGTACCTACAAGCATGGTACAATGATATCAAGGTAGGGCTATGATACCATATGATTTTAATTTTTTTATTTTCTTGGCCTAATATGTCATCTTTATTTGTTTATGTATGTGTTTTCTTTTCAATAACAAAAAAATTGTTCAGTAAATATTCAAATTCGGGTATTTTCAAAATGTTTATTTCAACGTATGCATCGACAAAATCCAGAGTTTTTGTAGCGAAATAATCCTTTAGAGATTTTGAAAAGAAATCGGTTTTCAATTATTTATTCAAAATAAATGCAACAAGTTGTTTGATTTTTTATTGTTTTGATACTAAGGCTGGAAATACATAAAGCGCATATTTGGCTGGCTTAAGTCATCGGCTGGCTTCTTCGTAGATGAACAAAGGAGTTTTAGGTTGACCTAGTTCGATTTTGGACCTAGGCTCCTTTGTTCATTTCCGAAGAAGCCAGCCGATGACTTAAGCCAGCCAAATAAGCGCTTTATGTATTCCCAGCTCAATTCTGACATTACAAGCCAAACAGGTAGACCTCTATACTTGCAATTTTTTCAAAGTTGGCCTACCTTTTCTTCATTGTACCATGCCTACAAGAATCTACTAGTTTTGCAATTTTATTCGATATCATATAGGGAAAATCGGCTATCACAGTAATAAAATTTTTACATTCTTGCAGTTCTGGAACAGACCAAGAGATTGGAGCCTGTTTTATAAAAACAACTGCAACAACAAAATATTCATTTAAATTTGACAATCTAAATGATAGAAAATGCAGAGCTGGATATGTTTATTTAAATCATGATTCTTTCATTGGTTTTCTAAACAATATTATTAACATGCTTGGTAGAATGAAGAAGGCCAAGTCATGCAAACATATGTTTATAATTTTTTAAAATTATTTAATTGACATTTCATTGTCAAAATTTATATATACAAATTCATTGTACATACACAATTCAGAGATTGAAATTTGACAAGCTATATTACAGAAAATGCAAAGGTGGGAATGCTCATTTGAAATGACTTTACTTTCTTAATTTTACCATGATATCATGGTAGAATCAAGAAACTAAAGTCATAAAACCTATATTTACAATTTTTTAAAAATTATTTGTTTGATAACATCAGAGATGGAAATTTAGTTTTTATGCAGTGAAATTTGATAAGAGATGGGTATGGTTATTTGAAATGACTTAACCTTCTTAATTTTACCATGATTAATATATTGATTTTGAGTTTTTGTTTATAATTTCCTAAATTTGTTTACAACAGTAATTTATTTTTTAAATTGGGTGATAAATATAGTTCTGTGACTGAATACGTACAAATGTACAACACCGAATAACATTCATGAATTTACTTACCGTCCAACCAATTTTATCCCCGCCACATAAATATTCCATTTTTATGGGTAAGTCGCCACGATCGAAATACATTCGAAATGATGAACTTCGATGTGGTTTATTCAGGTCATGACTTGGACCCAGTTTCACTTTGGTCACCGACAAACGAACAGCTATCGACGGCATTGGAAATATAAGGAATATAAACTCAATAAAGCACTTTTGTTAATCAAATCAAATAAAAATCATACTTTTTTGATCCGTTTTTCCACGAGCACTGGCACTACCCGATGATGACCCCTTGGTCATGGGGGCATCAACTACTTTGGTGTTCTTTTGTTGTGTTTGTATGGAAAACGGTGGAACATAACGAGTTTTTGCAGCTGAAACTTGTGCCGAATAAAGCGCTTTATGGCCAACCGGAGGATTTGCGGATTTTGAACGATAACGAAAAGGTTCTCGCGATGCTATACAACAATCGAAATTATGTTCCAAAGAACGCTTATAATTTGGACGAGCTGTATAGGCCATTGCTTCTTTATTTAATTATATATCAACGAGAGAATACGTTAAATTTCCTTATTCCTTTCTCTTGGAATGCTTATAAACAACTAAAGTTATTTTTCACTGAATTGCGGCATAAATTCATCCCCCATGGCGCCCAACTTACTTGCAACTGAAACCATAACGATTGGTTGCTAAGAGTATCAATTATGAGAGTGTGAAGAGAACTTCTAGAAATGTGGCAAATGGAATGAAAACACTCCAACGAATTCCATGTTTGTTAGTAAACAAAACTATGGTTGTGGAAGTCCATTCAACTGAACTAGAAGTACATAAGCTTCGGCTGTGTGAGTTCCTATTCCATTGTTGGGAGGACGAATTCATTCATTCATACTTTTTTTATAGTTTATAGTGTTGCAAGTCACGCGACTTCTGGAATAACAATAATTATATTGCAAAGTAATTTTCAATTCAATTGTTTAAAACAACTGAAGAATGTAAAATGTTATCCAGGACTTTAGTTTGGCATGATAATTATTATAATAGAAACAGCCAAGAAATATTTTTGAATGTCTGATAGGATTGCTGGGATAAACAGCAACAGAAGTAATATCAGGCCGTATTTTGCTATATATACAGGGTGAGATGAAAAAACTGCAACCAATTTCAAACTGCTGTCATTTCTAAGTCACTCGTCCGACATCTGTTAAAATTATTCCAGTGACAGCTCATTATATTTTTTACAAGCGTACAAAAGCATTTGGGTGAGAAGTTATTCGTGATGGAATTTAAGCGTGATAGTGTGATTTCTTTATTTTTGTCTGGAAAACCACAAGTGGCTATCGTTAGAGAACTCCAGCATTTAAATGTGAATAAATCTTTTGTGTCTCGTACCACCGCTCGTTACCGTGATACTGGTAGCGTAGTCCGACGTCAAGGAAGTGTACGGAAGAAAGCAGCAACATCAGCAGAAATGGTTCGAAAAGTAAAGAAGCGACTTGATCGAAATCGCGTCGCAGTGCGCGAAAAATGGCTCGTGAACTGAACATATCGCAATATTCTATTCGGCAAATATTGAAAATGAGCTCGGGGTAAAACTATTAAAATTCCAAAAAGTGCAAGAACTTACACCGCAGCAGATAGAGAAATAGACTCAAAAGAGCTAAAAAGTTGCTTCGCTTGGCCGATAGTGGTGAACTGCCGAATTTGGTTTTCTCCGATGATAAAACATTCGTTGTCCAGCATTTCGTAAACAAACAAAATGATCGGGTTTACTTGCCAAAGAGGTCAGCTGAAAATGTGTGCCTTTGGTTGGCCACCAGAACTCAAGCGCCGGCCATGGTAATGGTGTGGGCCGCCATAACAGCCGATGGTCGTTCTCTGTTCGTATTAATCGACGTGGCATCAGAATAAGTGTGGAAATACATAAAGCGCTTATATGGCTGGCTTGAGTCATTGGCTGGTTTATTCGGAAATGAACACATGAGCCTAGGACCAAAATCGAACTAAGTTAACCCAAAACACCTTTATTCCTCTACGAAGAAGCCAGCAAAATTAGCGCGAAAATATTCTGGAAGGTGTATTAAAGCCTTGGGCACTCAATCAATTTGGCCGCAGACCTTGGACGCTTCCTCGCTTCGTTTCCATCGCAAATCTCCGGATACCAATCCATTGGTCTATTGTGTCTGGAGTAATTTGGAAAGCAAGATTGGCAATAAAAAATACGAAAGTGTCGATCACCTCAAGCAAGTGCTCCGCCGGGAATGGGCCAAAATACCGCAGAGCAACATTCGGGCAGCGTGTGACGGTTTCATTGGTCATAATTGGCCGTTTGAAGGCCATAAATCTAAACTTATTCTAAAATTTGATGCTATTTCCGACATTTTTTGCTTTCATTCAATTAAATTAAAAAAAATGTAAAATTATGGCGTTTGACTTTGTTGCAGTTTTTTTTATCTCACTATATCCCGCAACTGAATTGCCATTAAGTATATTGCAGGAAATTGACATCTAAATTCTATTTTCGCCCGTTTAACGCCAAAAATAAGTGGTATATTCCGATTTACCCTTTATAATATGGAAAAAATTGCAAAAAATAGTAAAATATTGTAGGTTCTGGAACAGACTTAAAATCACATTTGATATTTTTAAAACATTTATCCATGATACAATGAAATAAAGGTAACCCCAGACCAACAATTAACTGAATATAATAGCACTGAAATGGAGATAATGGTCTTTAACGTGATATAATTGATATAGTCTAAAAGTACTTTAAATAGATTAAAAAATAAAAACTTTTAAAAACACGTCTATAGTTGGCACATATGAAAATTAATTGTCTGTCCCATAACTACAACAATGTCAAAATTTTGTGCTCTTTGTCAGTAGCTGCAAGAATTTACTAGTTTTTCAATTGTTTCCTCTATAATATCCCAAAAATCTACGATTTCTAAATCGATTACAAAAAGTCGACATTGTGATTTTCACCACTGGTAACTGTTGGTTTCGACTTTTACATCTTTCAACTCCAAGTCCCTTGATCGTTAGTCGACCTACGTAGCCCTATTGCACACGTTTTCAACATTTCTCGGCCAGTGTTTATCAATAGGACTGCATCACCAACCAATTGCATTGGGTCATAAAAAAATTATTAAACATAACTAAAACTACACACAGTGGTTGGAATTTCCGATAAATAACCATGCCTGAGGAACAACAAACTACCGTAAATGGTGAAGGTGCTGCTCCAGCCGCAGCTAACGGTGAGCCACCAAAGACAGCTAAGCAATTGGAAAAGGAAGCTAAAAAGGCTGAAAAATTGGCCAAACTTCAAGCTAAGCTGGATAAGAAGGCAGCAGCTGCTCCAGCTGCCGCTGAGAAGAAAGAAAAACCAGAGGTAAGCTCCTGATGCAATATTTAGTGCAATGACGAAAGAATTGGGGTTAGAAAATGTCATGAATGAGTGTACAACACACAAGATACCGATGCCTATAGTGAAAAAAGTAAGTGTGGATGAAGAGAGGTTGTCTTGTGGAGGGCCAAGGGGGTTTTGTGCTTGTCATGAAAAAGTAAGAGGTGCTTTATTGAATGTCTTAGTAGCATGATGGTTTGTTGTTGGTTATTGAACAAAAAACTACAAAAACACAGCGTAATTGTATCAAAAAAGTTTTTGTACAAATCCAGTGAAAGTTTAACAATTTTTATTTAATTGTCTTTAGCTCTTTTTGTTGTTGTTATTCGTATCTAATTATGTGCGGTATTTTGAATTTCAGAAAAAGGCAAAGGAAACAAAAGAGGCTGCCGTGTACAAAGCCAACACAGCCCCTGGAGAAATGAAAGATATCAGTGGACCATTGCCTGATGCCTACAGTCCTGGCTATGTGGAGGCCCAGTGGTATAGCTGGTGGGAAAAACAAGGTTTCTTCACACCTGAATATGGGGTAAGATAGAAATTTATTATTACTTTTTTGTTTAGTTCCAAGTTGAATACTCCAGAATAATCAAGAAAAGGACAACGCACAGATGTGCCAATGGTAACAATGGGATGTCCTTTAATTAAATCAACAGGCCACAAACATAATACTAGTGTTCAAAGAACGGGGGCCAAACTCTTGAAAGATATCGAAAACAATATTTTTTTACTCTAAATTACATTAAAATTAATCATTTCAATCGAAATTTGTTCGATATCGAATGAGATAATATGGTCACTGGGTCTTTATTTCTTGCCATTGGGTAAATCTTAAAAATGTTAAATCGCCTATGAATATGCTTGTATATAATTTTTGAATTGTGTATATTTTTTTCCTTATAATACATATTTTCAGCTAATTAAAAATGCTTCCACTTGACTAAAGTTTTTCTTTTTTACTTTTTAGCGTTCTAGCATTTCAGACAAGAATCCCAAAGGCAACTTCGTCATGGTAATTCCCCCACCCAATGTTACCGGTTCTCTTCATTTGGGTCATGCCCTTACAAACGCCATTGAAGATGCTATAACACGCTACAATCGTATGAAGGGTAAAACCACCTTATGGGTTCCCGGATGTGATCATGCCGGCATTGCCACTCAAGTTGTGGTGGAAAAACTCCTTTGGCGTGAACAAAAACTAACACGTCACGATTTGGGTCGTGAAAAGTTCATTGAGAAAATTTGGGAGTGGAGACGTGAGAAGGGTGTTCGCATTTATGATCAACTTAAATGTTTGGGTTCATCTTATGATTGGACTCGTGTTGCCTTTACCATGGATCCAAAATTGTGCAAAGCAGTTACGGAAGCTTTTGTTCGTTTACACGAGGACGGCAGCATTTATCGTAGTTCACGCTTGGTCAATTGGTCATGCACTTTACGTTCAGCTATTTCTGATATTGAAGTGGACAAAATTGACATTCCCGGTCGCACATTCTTTTCCATTCCTGGCTACGATGAAAAGGTGGAATTTGGTGTTTTAGTGAAATTTGCCTACAAAGTTGAAGATTCCGATGATGAGATTATTGTGGCCACAACTCGTATTGAGACTATGTTGGGTGATACCGCTGTCGCTGTCCATCCCAATGATGAACGTTACAAGCGTTTGCATGGTAAATTCGTTAAACATCCATTCTGCGCCCGTCGTCTACCCATTGTATGTGATGAATTTGTTGATATGAACTTTGGTACCGGTGCCGTCAAAATAACCCCAGCCCATGATCCCAACGATTATGAAGTTGGAAAACGTTGCAATTTGCCTTTCATTACCATCTTCAATGATGATGGTTACATTATTGGTGATTATGGTGAATTTACAGGCATGAAACGGTTTGTGTGCCGTAAACAGATTTTGGAAAAGCTCAAGGAATTGGGTCTCTATCGCGAAACTGTCAACAATCCTATGGTGGTACCATTCTGCAGTCGTTCCAAGGATGTCGTTGAGCCAATGATCAAACCCCAGTGGTATGTTAAATGTTCGGAAATGGCTGAAAAGGCAACAGAAGCTGTACGCTCTGGTGAGCTTAAGATTATTCCTGAACACCATACCAAGACTTGGTATCACTGGATGGATGGCATTCGTGATTGGTGTGTGTCCCGTCAATTGTGGTGGGGTCACCGTATCCCAGCATATTATGTTACATTTAATGATCCTTCAATTACAGCTGGTTCGGTAAGTTGAAGATTCGGAAATTTAAATTTTTAAATGTGTGTTAAATATTTGCTTTTTTCATGCTTCCTTTTTCAAAAGTTGGCAGTGGTAATATTTATTAGCATCATAAATGTCCAATAATTAATGGGTGATATTTTCTTCTCTCCTTTAGTCTGATGATGAAGCCTATTGGATTGTGGCCCGCTCACAAGAAGAGGCATTGGCCAAGGCCGCTGAACGTTTCAAGGTAGATGCTAGCAAAATTGTCCTCAATCAAGACGAAGATGTTTTGGACACCTGGTTCAGTTCTGGTCTGTTCCCATTCTCTGTATTTGGCTGGCCTGATAATACAGCAGATTTGGAAGCATTCTATCCTACTTCTTTGCTGGAAACCGGTCATGATATTCTCTTCTTCTGGGTGGCTCGTATGGTCTTCTTTGGCCAGAAGTTGTTGGGTAAACTTCCCTTCAAGGAGGTGTACTTGCATCCTATGGTTCGTGATGCCCATGGCCGTAAGATGTCTAAGTCTTTGGGTAATGTTATTGATCCCATGGATGTCATCAAAGGCATTAGTCTGGAGGGATTGCATGCTCAATTGGTTAATTCGAATTTGGATCCTCGTGAAATTGACAAAGCCAAGGCTGGCCAGAAACAAGATTTCCCCAATGGTATTCCCGAGTGTGGTTCGGATGCTTTACGTTTCGCCTTGTGCGCCTACATTACACAGGCACGTGATATTAATTTGGACATTAATCGTGTCCAGGGTTATCGTTTCTTCTGCAACAAACTGTGGAATGCCACCAAATTTGCCCTTATGTACTTCACTGGAGATGAAAAATTCACCTCCAACTTCCAACTGAATGGCAGTGAAAATAATATGGATGTTTGGATTTTGTCCAGACTCTCTGCGGCCGTTGAAGCTTGCAATAATGGTTTTGAACAATACGACTTTGCTGCCGCTACAACAGCTTGTTATAGCTTTTGGTTATACGATTTGTGTGATGTTTATTTGGAATGTTTGAAACCCATATTCCAAAGTGGTACCGATGACCAGAAGGTTGCTGCCCGCAAGACATTGTTTGCTTGTTTGGATTTGGGACTTAAGTTGCTGTCGCCATTTATGCCTTTCATTACCGAAGAATTGTATCAACGATTGCCACGTGCTGATAGTACACCAAGTATATGTGTGACATCATATCCTGGTATGTTGAAAAACGTTTATTTTCTATTGCTTAAAAATTACTAAGTATTGATTTTTTAGACAACACCTATTGGCGCAATGAACAAGTCGAAAAGGATGTGGAGTTCATGCAAAAAGCTGCCCGTATCATACGTTCCGCACGCTCGGACTACAATTTGCCCAATAAAACCAAGACCGAAGCCTACATTGTTTGTACCGACTCTCAACCCAATGATATACTCAAGAAATATGCCAGTGACTTGGCCACTGTATCATATTGTTCCAAGATTGAATTTGATCAAACACCACCAGCCGGTTGCGCTATTCTTACCGTTTCCGGTCAATGTGAGGTTCATCTTCTGCTAAAGGGTCTCATTGAAGCCGACAAAGAAATCGCCAAACTACAAAAGAAACAAGCCCAATTGGAACAAGCTGTGACAAAACTCAAACAAGCCATGTCGGCCAGTGATTATACCACAAAGGTACCTGCTGAAGTCCAAACAGCAAATACTGAGAAATTGGCCCAATCTGAAAGTGAAATTCAACGCATTGCCCAAGCTATGGAAACCCTGAAATTGATGTAAAGTGCAGTGGTCATGAGAGAGTGGGGATGGGAGGGATCTATAGATTCATTTGCATTTTAATCCCCATACTTTGATTTAATTTATATTTTGACGACAAGGAATTTAATTTATTTTACACATATTCTACAAGGTATACAGATATGCCTTGCTTTTGTATTTAATAGAAAGCTGTGCTTACAAAGTTTAACTTGATCTGCTATTTATTGTCTCACAAAGGATATTAAAGTATTTGTCTCTATAAAATATGTATGGTTTAGACAGTTTGCTAAAATAGTTAAATTTATATCAAATAATAACAATAAAATGACAAAAAAACGACAAATTGTAGAGCCAATTATTGTGTGATCAAATGAGGGAGAGCAATGGTGATGTGTCAGAAAAAAACAAGTAGAAAAGCAAATACAGGGTGAGATAAAAAACAGCAACAAAGTCAATCGAGTTCGGAGATGGGCAATATCGGTCCACTCCTTCTGGCACCTCCCCCACAAAAGGTCGAAATTTTCAAAAAATATATTTTTTGCACAGAAAGAGAAAGGATAATCCGATTTTGCTCCAACTTTGCGAATCCTAATATTTGCATCCGTGCTACGACTGGTGAAATTGATAATATGGGTCCACTCCACCTCCCCTACAAACGGTCAACATTTTGAATAATTATAACCCTTATAAAATGTGATGTAAGTGTTCGATTGTCTTCAAATTACACACATCCCAATACTTTTATTATCGCAAGGTCTGGTGTGAGAATGGGATATATCGGTCTTATCCTTCTGGTACCTCTATCACAAATGGTCAAAATTTTAAGTATCCATGAAGCTCATAAAACGCGAAATTAACATCCGATTCCATTCAGGCTTTGTACCTCTCAATATTTCAATCAACACAAGATATGTTATAACGATAGTACAGATCGGATAATTTCTTCTGGTGCCTCCCCCACATAGGGTTCAAGATTTTTGAGAAACAAAACGCTCAAAGATAGCAAAATAAGCATCCAACTCTCTTCAAATTTCACATATCCAAGCCTATCGGCTAAGACCTACTGGTACCTCACCCACAAAGGGCCACAATTTCCAATGCGATTCTATACAACTTGTTATATCTAAATATTTCTCTCAACCAGAAATCTGATATGAATATGAAATTTATGATTTCGCATTAAATTGGATATAAATGTTCGATTACCTTCAAGTTTTGCACATACGAATATTTTTAACTATATTGATGAAAAATGAAAATGAAATTACCTCACGCATATTTCCACATTTTCCAAAAATGTACATATATCTATATATATAAAAGAAAGTTGTGTTAGTTACTACGCTTATAACTTAAGAACCGCTGAACTGACTTTAATAATTCATACAAATTCGGAATTGTCTTCTATCCGAAAAGGATAATATCCAAAAAAATCGCGTAAAATTTGATATATTAACATTTTCATTTTGACTTTTGAAATGTACAATAGTAATGTTTTATTTTGCATGATTTTTTTTCCATTTTGACTTACTTTTTTCTAATGTACATTTGTAGTGTTTTTTTATTTTTGAATTCGAATATTAATACCAATTTATTTAATTGACTTGATTTTTTGAGAACTGAAATTGATGGCGGGTTACATGTGGTGGAGAAACGGAATAGATGATATCGAAATAATTTAACGCGATCACACCAAAGTTAAAATATAATTACTTTTTCAAAATCACTAAAAAATCACGAAAAAGAGATCTCATTGCAAAAAATCTCAAATCGGGAAAATATCGAAAAAAAAAATTTAAATAGTATTGAATTTTAAAATAAAAGTACATTCTATTGACAAACTTTGTAAGGATCTTTAAACAGTTACTGTGAAAAATCCGCAAACAAGTTAAAATTTTTTTCAATTTGTTATTCTTCTTTTGTCAATTTTTTTCAATTTGTATTATCATATTGAATTCAGTTGATTTTTTGTGAACAAAATAAAGAATCATTTTTCACTATATACAATTTTTCACAAAAAAAAAAAAAAAATTAAATAAGTGCGAAATACGATGTTAACTGACATCTACCTTTCAACTCCAGGGCCTACATCGTGCTTCAGTTGGAAGATGCGCACACATTTAAACAAACAAAAATGACCGAAAATAACTAATGGGGCTCATATCAAAGCGTGGACCTACTTCTTTCATGTGACAATAATCCGTCCAATGAGAGCTCAAAATGCAAAAATTTTTGGGAGTACAATCAGTAAAATACAAAATAGAAAGTGTGCAAAATAGTACAGCGAATGGGACTTTTAGTAAGAAAAGGATTTCTATCCTTCCAGAAATTCTTCCCAAACATTCAAGATACCTTAAATTGCTTTAACAGGTCATGTTATCGATCATATATATATAACCATCGTATGATTTAAGCTGTTTTTGGGGCCTTCGCCACTTTCTTTTATTTTTGGCCCTTATTTGGCATCTTTGTTTCTAAGGGGGTAGAGAACCTCTTCGCATAAAATTTTCGTAGTAGGGCCCATATTGGTTTTGACCACATTCATCAATTGATTTGGTTAAAAAATTGTATTTATGCTACCCTTGGATAAGGAACCATCATACAGATAATTGCCACATAGAAATTTATTTAAGTAAAGTCCCCACTTTGGAGTATCCCCAAGTCCACTTTCACATCTAATGTGTAGTCAGAAATGAAAATTTTTATTCTATTGAATTTGTAACCCCCAAGACAATATTGGTTAGGAACGTAGATTTGGGATGTACATCTATATGAAATAAATTCTGAAAACAAGAACAAATTACAAATATAAGAAAGTAGCACGGGACCGAATATTCATTGAATTATACTATGATGAAAAATATGGACTTTATGGGGTCTCCAACTTACAATTTAAATGACAAATAAAATTAATTCCTATCTTACGGTAATGGGTGTAAAATAGCTATATTTTTGATTTGGCTTCTATTTGTCATATTGGATTATAAGGGGTAGAAGACAGTTTTCAATGTAGGTCGATGTTTCGGAGTAGTGCCCATATAAAGGTACCTCTTGATTTTACCATATTTCAAAGGATGTGGCTAAAAATGTGTATTTGGGGGGTGAAAATCTTACACAAAAATTTCAACATATCTACAAATTTTAGAATTTTCTCCATGTAGTCAAGTCCACCTTTTGGCGGACAAACAGATCGACATGGTTAGTGGGACTTATGAGGACTAAAGCACAATCTAAGGTGTTAATGGGTTTAAAAAAGTAATTATCTTTGGCTATTCTTAAATCATTCAGCCCTCAATTATGAGGTGTACAAAATACAGTAAATTCCAAACTACTGCTCATTTGACTAAAAAATTTTGCTACGAATTGTACCATACTAAAAATTAATTTGATCCTTTACATGGGGATAAGATTGATATATACTTTTTAATAGATTTGTATAGCACATCCACACATTTGAAGCCCACGGCTTAAATATGGATACATATATTTTAAAACTCTTATATCAGTCATATCTGTGAATAATTATGCTTTGACAAATATGCATAATGGACAAAAACTACGGGCCGGCAACGCGGACCGGGCCAGCTAGTTTCATATAAATATAGGAAGTAATTGATATAGCCCAAATCTGGCAAGTTGTAATATTTTTATCAATCTTAGGTCAGATACGAATTGGCCAACTGCTTCGAACCTCCCAAGGCAGGGGGTATACATCTGCCGGAAAAACCGACTGATACTATTTTACTGGTTATTTTTTAGGACGATTTACTTAAAATTTATGGCTTTCTTAACCGGTAAACACACAATGGCCTACTCGTATTGTTATTTGAATTCGATAAAACATGGCCATGGCATAGGTTGTAATTAAAATATTTTTTATTCAATTTAAAATGTGGTCTTTCCTGTCGTTTATTTGTGCAAAGAAAACTGATATGAAGTAAGAAGGAATTGCATAAAAGACCCATGAGATATAAATAAAAAGTTTGAGCTGCGGAAAATCCTTTCCAAATACCTCGTCCTAGACGGTAAGTCTCAATAAAAAGATTTGAACAAAAACTAGGACAGCTTCTGTTTCAAATATTACTAATTTATATACTCAAGTCCAGCCCTTTCTTCATATAATTCTAAAATCTGAGTAAACCACTATAAATTCAAAAATCACCTACATTCCCACTAAACAATAACACATTACGTGACAATTATTTGTTTTATTATATAAATATGTTTCATAAAAATAGCAGTGCTTAAATAGAGAAAAGCGTTCATCATAGGAAATATAAATGAGTTTAATATATAGTATGTAAGTAAACTATTTGGAAATATCCATATTATATTTGTCTTCTTTATGTCTTTCGCACAGTTGTCGGTCATTTACGATTCCATAGCTTCTTCGGTTTTGTTGTCCTCATTCATTTCGGCAATGTCCATTTGCTCAGCAAATTTTTCAATTTCACGCAGTTGTGCTTTCAAATCATCGGGTAATTGCTGTTCACTTAAGGCCTTTGGATCTTCACCTTCGATAACAATTTCTTCTGGATCGGGTGCACGTGGCAGGAACTCCTGATCGGCGTAGAGTTTGGAAAATATATTTCGGGCATCTTGTATGGATTTATCATAGTCCAATTCATAGAAGGGTGGAGCAGTTGCCTGTATTAGGCCACTTCCATTTGATTTCAGTTCAAAACCACTTATGGTGAAGAATGATGAGTATAAAATGTTTGGTGATTCTGGGGAATTAGTAAATATTTGCTGAGTAAAAGCTTCCAAATCAGACTGTGGAGTATCGCTTAAAGCGCTAGTAGTTAAATGGAATGTAACTGAAAAAAGGAATTTTAATTAAAAATAACAAAGTATTTAACAAATCCTAAAATACTTACACAATTCCTTTGGAGTTGTTCCTGAATAATGAGACAATTGGACAAGTATTGCCTCTCGTTTGCCATCGGCGGAAATAAGTCTCAATAAACTAACACCTCCGCCACAGGAGTTCAATTCAAAATTGCCCAAAGGCGACGAAGCAATAAAGATGCCTCTCGACAAACAATTCTTGGGATTTTCACTGCGCAGAGAAGCTGGCAAGTTACTGGTAGAGCACACAATATGTTTAGCCTGGACTTGGTGTTGACCATCGACCTCAATGCTAACCCTCTGGGCACCATCGTCCACATTTACAGCACTTATTTGCCTCTTCAGACAATAAATTCCTCCAAATACTGCACAGAGACGACAAAAGCATTGTGGTATCTCACCACAACCGTACATGGGAAATATAAAAGGAGTATTTCCATAACGACCCAAACTTTTCAAAAACTTTTTAGTACGCTCCATACCCTCCTCGAATGTGGTATCTTCACTGGTCATGGCAATGGCCTGCATTACACACTTGTAAATCTTTTCGGTGACTTTTTGTTCTCGCAAATACTCAATGAAGGTCTTGCCCTTAAACTCCGACATATCCTCCTCGCACTTATCTTCGCCATATGTCAAACATATGGTAAGGAATTTCATCAACAGTCTTTTCTCTACAATACTCAAGTCTTTGGTATTAAAAACATCACTTCTCGAACAGGGCACCGTCAAAAGCTTTCCCTCGAATTGGGTAAAGATGCGGTCGATGGCTCTAAACTCAGCATATCGACAGATGTTAGAAGAAATCAATAATTGCACTAAATCCCCAGAGGAAAAAAGGATTTTGGGACATAAATCTAAGTTGAATTTTCGTGATTGTTTTAAAACTTTGTCGGCAGTCCATTGTGTTTTCTTTTCTGCATCCTCAGAGTTGGCCACATCCTCGGCTGGTTCTCCCTCTAATGGAATGTGCCATTCAAATTTTCCATTTTTGATTTCTTTGCTTTTATCTGCATTGCTTTCATTCAGCAATGCATTGTATGCATCCAAATTGAAGGAGGCCCATGAACCTCCATAATATTCATTGGGATCTATGTGCAGTACAGTTTTTCCGACTCGGCTGGCTGCAGCAGCTACACAAGACTCGGGAAAGCCTAGGAAAAAATAACACAAAATCAGAACAAAGTGAAAGGGAGATGATTCATACTTTTGGTTGGTATTGCCAAATAAAGTCTTTAAAATCAAATTTTGGGCAACCTACCTGTTCCAATGACAATCAAATCAAATTCTTTTGGTAAATCATCATCCATGATTATTGTTTATTCTATTTTTCAATAATAAGAATTAATAATGTTGCAGCTTCCTTAAAAACTCTTTTCTTCCGTCAATAATCTGAAAATCTATCTAGTCCAAAGCAGACAACGAAGCGGAATGATTTTTTTGGACGGCGGCGGCTTACAAAATGTAAATAAATTGCCGGCGGCACTCTGTGTTTGTCTTGTGCTCTGTACAAAAACACATTACCAACAACACAAGGAGAGTTGCGAATAAAGAAGAGACAAAACGACGAATGTGTAGAAAATGGAAGTGCAATACGCCGCAACAGCTGTCAAGTAGTAATCTTGAGCATCGTTTACACCCATCTCTATTTCAGTGTGCAAAATATGTTCACTGAATTAGCGAAGGTTTCAAAGAAGAAACCGTTTACACTTGTACGAATCAGGATCAACAAACGAAAAAGGGCGGAAGATATATAAAAACTTAAGTTTTCGTAAATTATTTTATTAAGAAAGAAGATGATGGAAAATTCTGAGACTTGTATATATATTTGTTTTTGTGTTTACTAATGCAATATATTATATCAACTTAAACAAATTGTTTCTGGATGTTCTTCAATAACGTAAAATGCAGTAGATAGGTTTGAGTTAAAATATCAAAAAATGTTTCCTCAGTCCGTAAAAGATGTGTAAAATTTATGGGAATTTAAGTTTTATTGAATAGTAGAGGTATGGTAGAATATAGGTAATATAGGAAGAGCTGCTGGGACAATGAACTGTCAAATCCATTTTGGAATTGAAAATGTTGAATGAAAAATTATTTAAATTTGTAAAAATTGTTGAAAAGCGTGAATTATAATAGCCTCCGAATGACGTAGTATAAGAAATCATATAAAAATCTACTTATATTTGAAATAATATTTAATTTTTTTTTTGACATATCAATGCTCCCAAGCGTTGATGCATCTACCTGTGTTCTTCTGCCATGAGTAGAGGGTAGAATAAAGTACATTTCACTTTTTTCAGCCTGCTCTCCTAAAAACTCACAAACTTTGCACGCGTTACATGAGTTTCATTACAAATGTTCTAGTTTGATCAGCTGATCTGAAGTCAGCTGTTTTGAGAACAGAGTGGGAAAAAATTCAGACAATAATATAAAAATTGTAAATATTTCCACATGTATGGTAAAAAAGTGGAAGTTGAAAGAAAAATAGGAGGTTACTGGAGAAAACATTGCTAGCTGCTTTGTTGTTAGCTATTTACGTTGGTGGGTACTCTGCTAGAGTTGAATAAAAGCCGCCGTTTTGACTTACTCTCCTTTGCCGTAGCAAAAACCAAAAATATTCTGGATACCATGGTACAATTAGGAAGGCAAATTCGTGCAATCATACGTTTACATTTTTTTTTCGAAATTTCCAGTTATAATTCCATTATTATATTATAATTCCATTGTTATTTATAATTCCATTGTAAATACACAGATCAGAGATGGGAACCTGCTTTCCAGGAAAAGAAATTTAACAAGCTAAATTACAGAAACTCCGAAGATGGGAATGCTTATTTGAAATAACTTTACTTTCTTAATTTTACCATAGAATTAAGAAGGGGAAGTCATGCAATCATACGTTTACATTATTTTTCAAAATTTTTCATTTGACAACATCTCATTGTCAAATTTGTGAAATTTGAAAAAGTAAATTACAGAAAATGCAGAGATGGATATTCTTATATAAAATGACTCTACCTTCTTAATTTGAACATGCTGGAAGCATAAGATGATGTTACGTAAGCAGATTTACATCGTCGCATTGTTTATTGATGTGAAATTATAAGAGTCAAAATACTTTTACAATTAGCCGCTATGCCAAGCTGCCATGCTGCGTTTACCATGCGTTTACAAAAGACTGTGTAATAGAGTTCATGTATTAACTGTCGAAATACCTTTGTCTGTTCCAGAACTGGAAGAAAGTAAAAGTTTTAAATACGATAACCGATTTTTCCTTTATGATATCGTAGATAAATTGCAAAACTTGCAGGTTATTGCAGGTTCTATGACAAAGCAAATATAAAACATTGCAAGAGATACCATGTGTTCACACAAGACAAATTTCTTAAATCACAACTGCAGTTAGATACCCCATTCATATTGATGACATCGAGTAATAGCGCATTTATACTATTGAAGAGTAAAGGTGGGAATACATAAAACGCTTTTTTTTCGTAGAGGAAAAAGGCGTTATAGGTTGACCTAGTTCGATTTTGGCCCTACGCTTTTATTTTATGTATGCTTTCTACAGTATTCTGATTGGCCAACTATCATAGTTAATTAGGGTACAGATTATGTATGTAAACCTTCTTTAATACAACTTCTAATTAAATTTTATGCATTTTTTTGCATGGAAATGGTGAATATGTTTTTTTTTGCCAAAAAACAATTCTTGAGTACATTACCATTGTAATTTTATTACTTTGTTTAATAATTGTAATCATTCGTCTCGCAGACAAATTCTGACTGACGCGATAAACTGCAAAAAATATTTGTATTTACCAAAAGTCTTTTATGGCTACAATTTAAAACAAATACAACTTTCTGGCGAATAAACAGAAAATGCACAAGTTGAAACACTTTTTTTTATAGATTTCCCTTAAAACTTGTGGAGAGGATTATAATTGTTTCCGCCCATTTTCAAAGGTAAACGGAAATAAGTAGCTATTCTTTTTTTTCAAAAATGATTTTGTACTGACCTCAGTCGTTTTGTGTCGTTGTAAACAAGTGTTTAATGTCTTTATCGTTCATGTTTTCTTGACATTATTCTATATCTATTTTCTTATATAACAAAAATAATAAAATATGTTTTGTACATTTATGACAAATTAATTGCCCACAATCAAAATACACATTATGAATAATATTGTTGAGATAATACATTTTGCAAATATCCAAAAAAAAAAAAAAATGAATTCACTTCCATTGTAGACAAGAAATGACCGATAAGCTACCTGAAATGCCGATAAAGAAATAAAGGAAAAACCTCCCATATTGATGACCAAATTCGCGATATTGACAGCAAAAGTTGGAATACAGATATTATGGTTGTAACGAGTCGTGTCATCGATGGGTACGAGCAATTGCCAAAGTCATTTTTTTTTTAAAAAATCGGGTTTGTTTGGTTCAATGCACTTGCCGTTGATACATGGGTTTGTTGGGAGTTCGTTCACGTCTTTTTTTTTGGAGTGATGAATTACAGACACATAAGAAATATTTTATCCTTGCTTAATTAAAGGAATAAGGCCCTACTAAGAACTATGTAAATCAGGGTTAACCCGGATGAAGATTGTGGAGTGCGCCTCTTAGAGGGTTAACCATGAAAATAAAAAATAGTAAGAAGAAGGAGATGTTGCCAACTATTATTAAAGAAGACAAAAACAGCTGATGCTTAATATTTCTAAATGTCAATTAAGTTGGAAAATAAAAGAAAATAAATGAAGAAAATGACAACCAGGATTTCCTGGCAAAATTTGACATAAAAATTGTTTTATTTTCATCGCTAGAGAAGAATGGATATGTGGCTCCAACCAAACCAGGGATAAACACTAGCAACCAGAGTTACAAATATCGATGATTTTTTATTGCGTGCTAAAATCTACATTTACTGCTAGACATTTTTAATAAATCCAAGGAGGATAATAAAAAAGATTTTGAAGATAATTAAAATAACATTAATTCGTAATACAGAATAAAAGAATTACACCTAAGTCTGTTTTTACACGGTAGATTGGTTCCAGAAGAAGCAGTGTAAAAAAAGACATTGATCTTATACAAAAATGGGTGATTTGTTCCTAATCTCTAAAACCTATTAAAATTAGTGAAAAACAAAAATTTTTAAGAACAAAAATTCATGTCTATTTTATTAAATCAAATATATAATGCTTATTTTCACTAGCATAGTAATTAATGATAAAAAAGATATGCACTCTAATCTTAAAAGTAATATAAATTAAATGTATGGCAAGTTCAGTAACTATCGATACAATCGATGGCTTTAGACTTTTTTCTTTCATAAATACTTTTTTGTGATATGAACATACTTCGCAAAAATTAAATTTGACAAAAAAATTTAAGTACATACAATTTGAAATCGTGTTAAATGGAATAAAATCGTGTAAAAAAATAAAAATATTCAATTTTTAAACCGTGTTATATCAAAACCGTGTACAAAAAGACCGTGTAAAAACAGACTTAGGTGTATATGCAATTATATTAAGAACTTAAAAAAACTGTCCAAAAATCCAAATGATATAAATATGAATAGAATCAAGAATTGGGCAAAATCTGTATAAAACTTAAAAATATTGCGTGAGCCACAAGCGGCTATTTTGGCATGACCAGTAGTCCGGTATGCCCTGGTATTTTTAGAAAATCCGTCCTTATCCTGAATATAAAAAAACTTAAAATAAGAAAAGGCTAAATAAGTGGGATTTAATTATTTTTGAGTGCGGATACCAAACTACTAGTATAAAATACAGCATGAGATGAAGCAACTGCAACCAACTTCAGACTGCTGTCATTTCTAAGCCACTCGGCCGACAGGTGTTAAAATTATTCCAGTGACAGCTCATTATATTGCTTACAAGCGTACAAAACCATTTTGGTGAGAATTTTCCAGAAAACAAGTTATTCGTGATATTTCTGTGATTCTTCGTGTGATTTTTTTATATTTGGCTGGAAAACCACAAGTGGCTATCGTTAGAGAACTCCAGAATTTAAATGTGAATAAATCTTTTGTCAAGGAAGTGGACGGAAGAAAACAGCAACATCAGCAGAAATGGTTCAAAAAGTAAAGAAAGTACTTGATCGAAACCCGCGTCGCAGAGGCCGAAAAAATGGGTCTTGAGCTGAACATATCGCAATATTCCATACGGCAAATATTGAGCTCGGGGTAAAGCGATTGAAATTCCAAAAAGTGTAAGAACTTACACCGCAGCAGAAAGAAAATAGACTGAAAAGAGCTTTAGAGTTGGTTTTACTTGGCCGAAAGTGGTGAACTGCCGAATTTGGTTTTGTCCGATGAGAAAACATTCGTTGTTCGTTGAAAAAACATTTAAATTTTTTTGACATATCAATGCTCCCAAGCGTTGATGCATCTACCTGTATTTTTCTACCAT